TGCGCCACTCGGGAGTACACACAACTACTAATGTACTGTAGGTGTACATATGCTTGCAGAACAATTCTACCCTTGTACCATCTCTACCCTTGTTTTTTGTGAACAAATTATTCAAAATAAAATCACAAAATGTATATAATTTATAACATCACAGACACAGTCAAACACACACACAGATCCTGTATCTCTACCCTTGTAAAGTACAATCAAACTTACAGTCACAATATGCAAACTTAAAAATATATATTATATGACTGGAGACATACAAAATGTAACAGCAGATGTGTAAAAAACAACAACTATTAAAACATTTGAGGGCAGCATATGGTAAGAGCATCCGTTTCATTTGGAGTGGTCTGTTTTTGAAAGCATATTAAGGAACAATTCTCATCTCCATTGTGAGCCATATTTACAGTTATCCAATCACCTCAGCCCAAATCTGACTGATTTAGTTATTACCTGTATCCAAGTGCATTGCTGGATAATTCTAACTGCATAACCATCACCAAGAAAAATCATAATCCCTGCCTACCTCAGTCACGGTTATTCAAGTCTTAATGTGAACAATGGGTCTGGTCACCTCTCTTGGCAAGGGCATCAAAGTCTGGTGTCATCTTTGATGTAGAGATTCTCAGAACAGCTGACAAATGGTCATTTGTTAAATTTGACCTGTGGGATTTGTTGTAATTCATGACTGAGAATGTTTGTTCACACACATATGTGGACCCGACTAAAACAAGCATCCTTTGGACGTGCTTTTTAATTTTTGGAAACTTTGTTTAATTCAGTGAGCCATAGAACTGGTCTATTGTTGCTGTTTTGTACTTCTCCTTCAAAGCACTGTCACATTGGATGTCGATGATCTCCAATTGTGTGTCTGGTGGTGCTTTCTCACTGTCGAAAGACAGGGGGCATAATACAAGCTCCAGCTCAGTCTCAATCTTGGTGAAGTCTGAGAAGCAGCGGGAAAACTCAGCATGCAGGTCGATCAAAGTGCTACTGTATGTCTCAGTGCGGGACTGCGATGTGGGCGCGTTCAGTGCGGCCAGTGTCGGAAAATGAGCGAGAGACCGGCTACTCATTTGTCTGGAGATCAACATAAGTTTGGCCTTGAATGCTTTCACGTTGGAATACAGTTCATGTTCAAAAACACAATTTCCCTTTAGTTTCACATTTAGATCGTTCAGATGCCCCAATATGTCCACACCGAAAGCAAAGTCGCCCAGCCAGTTTGTGTCTTTCAACACTGAGAAGTCGTCAGCTTTACCAAACATATCAAGGAACAAACCTATCTCCCCTCTCAGTTCCCACACACAGCGAAATACTTTCACCAGGCTTAGCCAGCGCTCATTTGAATGGTACAACAAGTCCAGGTGCTCTGCCTCTGTGTCATTGAGCAGCTGAATGAACTGATGATGGTTAAGCCCACTTGCCCATATAAAGTTTTACAACCCCTTTGACAACACTTTCCAGCTTTAACACACTTTTACACAGGGCTTCCTGATGAATAATACAGTGAAGAAATATCAATTCCTCCGAGTTAGGGCTTTCTTCTTTTACTTTGTCTTGTAATCCTTTTAGTAGGCCAATGTTTTTACCGGTTAGATTTGGTGATCCATCTGTTGTGACATTTGTCAGTTTGCTCCACGGTAGATTCATTTTTTCCAAGCAGGCAGACACCCTGTCATATAAGTCAGAGCCCCTGGTTGTTCCCATCATTTATTCCATCACAAGAAGTTCCTCTGTTATTTCAAAGTTCTCATTTATTCCTCTGACAAAAATGTAAAGTTGAGCGGTGTCTCTGATGTCAGTACTCTCATCCAGTGTTATAGAAAAAAGATAGAAGCCATCTGCTTTTTTCTTCAACTCTGAGATTAGCTCCTCACCTATCACTTCACGCGCCTGGTGATGGTTCTGCGTGATAAGCTAATTTTCTCAAATTGGCTTTTACTCTCAGTACAAAGTATACCAGCGGTCTCCACCATACACTCTTTCACAAACTCCCCTTCAGTAAAAGGCTAGCTCTGCTTTGCGATTTTATGTGCAACTATGTAGCTTGCCTTAGTTACGGAGTCTTGAGTAGAGCACCGTTTAGTTAACGTATTTTGTTGGGCTTTTAAGTTTGTGGCAAGTTTTGAGGCCTTCCTTGCCTTTTCCTGAGAGGACAGATTGCTAACGTAGTTAGCATGCTTGCTTGAAAAAACGACAATTGAGATTCTATTCCTTAAAAATGGCAACACTTTCTTGGCATATCAGATATACCGCCCTATGTCCAATATTAGTAAAAAAGTATTTTGCTGTCCATTCTTCTTTAAACACATAACGTTCAGAGTCCACTTTTATCATTTTCGCAGCACTCATTTTTCACGTCAAAAGTCATCAAGCAATTTTACATTTACATTTTTGTCATTTAGCAGACGCTCTTATCCAGAGCGACTTACAGTTAGTGAATGCATACGTGTTATTATTATTATTTTATTTTTTCATACTGGCCCCCCGTGGGAAACCCACATCCCTGCCGGCCAAACCCTCCCCTACCTTGGACGATGCTGGACCAATTGTGCGCCGCCCAGGGGTCTCCCGGTTGCGGCCGGCTGCGACAGAGCCTGGACTCGAACCAGGATCTCTAGTGGCACAGCTAGCACTGCCATGCAGTGCCTTAGACCACTGCGCCACTCGGGAGTCGGAGTAATGAAGTGGCTATGATGACTGAGCGCATTCTGAATCTGACTGTAGGCCCAAATACAGAGCGCACTGCCAGGCTACAGCGCCATCTATTGGAGGTTGTTTGTATATCATGGAATGAGTCATTTTAGGCCAAAAATCGTAACTCAAATATAATGATATTTAATACATTTAAAAAATGTCTCGCGAGCCGGATACTTCATCTAGAACCATACAGCAGTGTTTCCCAAACCTCTCCTCGAGTACCCCCAGCTGTTTCACATCATTGATGTATTCCAAAACATGATTCAATGAAGGGCATGGTGATTAGTTGACCAATTGAATCAGGTGTGCTAGTACTACAATAGATCTGTGGATTTGCTGTGGTTAGTCGATTAGCGGTTTGGGAAACACTGCCTTATACATAACACTGAAATGTGTTATGTATGTCTACACGTTGTATGGGATGTGCTGAATGGAAGTTATATCAGGGCAAGAGGGGGATACTGGCTTTGAGTACAGTAGGTTTTCTTAGTTGTGGGATTGGTGTGCTGGTTGGCTTGTGGCCAGGTTGAATAAATGGGGGTTGTGCCATGGTTTTGTTGGTTGTGTCAGTGTTGTGTTTGCGTCAGGCTCAGCCAAGCTTCTCCATCTGTTTGCGTGGCTGGATCACTAGCAGAAGGAGAAAGGCAGTCGGTGCTTTGAAGTGGGACAGATTGCTTTAACCTCGTCTCTAAAGAGAGCAGCTGGAATAGAGAGGTCTTTTCACCGCCCGTATCCTTCTCGGACACTGATGGGAAGAGGCTATACGGACACACCTGGTGCCCAAATTGATGACGTATGTTGCGCAGCTGAGAGTCGAGTAGAGACTAATGGATTCGGTTCAGTCAGTCATCCTGATGAGCCCTTCCCAGCTAGCTAGTTTATGCTGGCTAGCTGGGAACAACCACAGCATGGCACTAGTTAAAACTTGTAAAAGAAAGTGATATTTAGATGGGCGAGGGAGAATTAACTTGTAGTATTAGTCACCATCTGGATGTCACCGTGACATGCCAATTAGCTAACGTAATGACAAGCCGGTGCGAATGACCAGTGCAAAGGTGTTGTAACGAGGTGCTTGCCGACGTGAGCTGCTTCCCACCGGAAAGCCATATCGCATGTCACTGCCGGTAGTTAAAACGGGGGAAATTTGTTCCATCCCACTTGATTTTATATTGAATAGGATAGCAGCCTACACAATAAATAACTTATAATATTGGTAGTTACCATCTGGATGTCACCGTGATACAGTCTACTGCTCAATGGGGAGAGTTGCAAGCCGGCCACACAACAACACTGGGCACAGTGTACTTCGCTCCCGCTTGCCGAGCACTGCTGTCCGGCAGTAAGGAGAGAGAAGTAGCTAGATGGTGTATCCAATATCAGGCCAGGGTGACAGCTAAAGCACATTTATTGTAGTGATGTTCATCTAAAATGTACAACTACTGAATTTAACATCTACATTTTTGTAAAAAATAAATAAAACTACTCCAATTAAAAAATGGAATGATTCTGAACACTCTCCCAAGTCCCAACTTGGGCAGACAAGTTTCAAATTCTCGCTGAAGTTTCTAGCCACAAGCATAAACTAGCTAGCTGGGAAGGGCTCATCAGGACGACTGACTGAACCTAATCTGTTTGTCTCCGCTCAACTCTCAGCTGCACGACATACGTCATCAATTTAGGCACCAGGCGTGTCCGTATAGCCTCTCCCACACCGATGAGATTATTCAATTGAAGCACAAAGCAAGCGCCATCCCCCAAGATGCACGGGGGCAACCTCTCCTCTAACCCCTCGACAAACAGGCACCCCGTCTCCTGTGTTGACCCGAGACCCACAATGCATAGCTTTGCCGGGCCGGGAACTCTCTTTGTATGGGCTGTTAGAGAGACTATTGGCGTTCCGAAGCAGTGAAGACATCCCACTGGACAACTCTACATATTTGTTTTCCTTCCAAACTTCTCATCCCTGACAGCTGTCCTGTTTTTTTTTCTCCTTCTTCTCCACCTTGTCCTCATGTACCAAATGAAAAGCCAATTGTTCAACTCAAATGTGTTATGTTAATATCATTTTGGGGGTCAATGAGAGCGTGTTTAGATGTAATGTGTTATGTTAATATCATTTGGGGGGTCAATGAGAGCGTGTTTAGATGTAATGTGTTTAAAAGACGCAGGCTCTTTGATCAGCCCAGCCACTGGCCCTACTAGAAGAGAGAGCTCTGTTCAGGAGCCCCCCTCCTCTCGCCTCCCACACCCCTACCCAAGCGGTCACATTACCCAGGGTGCCTCTATACCAGATGCAGGATCCACAATTAGCGGTGGTGAGCTTGGGTTAAATCGTGGTCAACATCTGTCCTTGTTTTCTCACTCAAGGATTTTTTTATATTAATTTCTTCTTATATCTGAGAGAGCACCTGGGCTCTCCTGGCAGTCCCGTCCTGCATTGATCTAGAAGACTTAAGCGGTGGCATGGGGTTCTCATTTACCCTGCCTCTTTGTTAAGTTAGGGGGGTATCTCATGACGAAGGTCCCTGCATGGGCCGATGGGCTGGTGGGTTGGTGGACCGGGCTGAACTATACAAGGGATGGGGTGATGGAGTTATAGAGGGAAGAGGAGGGGGAGGTTGTTTTTCGCTGAGGCATCCCCGGACGACAGGAACGCACTGTGATCAATGGCGTGCAATCAGCCGCCTCTGACTCCCATGACACACTGATCAGTCTTAGTCAATGAACACATGAATGAATGAATCAATCACGTCAGGCCACGGAACTGCTTAACCTGAACAACTGTGAGGACAGACCAACACCATACTGCTGGGTGTGTAGAGGACCCACATTGGTACTGTAGGCACGCTATTCTGAAAAACTGAGTTGATCCTAAAATAATATTACACTCAGATTGACTGGTTTTCCCTAAAATGTTATAGTTTCACTAAAATGTAGACCAAGTGAAATCATTTCCCCACAATACACGACACGACACTGTCAATGTCGTTTTTCCTTGTTGAGCTTTCGGTTCGGAGTCAGAAACAGTTGGCAAAAGGTGTGACACAGAAAAGCTACAGCATTGTGGACCAATGAGCCACTGGGCTCTTAGAAGAAAAACACAAACAACTGTGTGCTTGCTTGCGCAGGTGTGCTTTTGACTTGTGGTCGGGACATATTCATGTATAGTGATAAGCAACATTGACCCTTGTGCTCAAATAACAGATTTCTTGGTCGAGGCCAACGCTCACTGGATTACAGAAATAATTTGAACATGAATGGAGAGGCCATTTCTGTCCTTGAAATATCAGTTTTTTTCTGTCCAGTAAGCTGTGTGGGTTTCTGGCAGCGCTGCTGGCTCTGAAGTGGCCAGGGATTTCTGCTTGGCTGGGTTTTGGATTTGCAAAGCTGACAGAAGGGCTTCGGTTGGGAAGAACAAGAGGGCCAAACGCTGCTACCAAGTCACTAACTTGAAAGGCTCATTTGAATAAGATAACTTCTTTCAATTTTCATTATTTTTCTCTTGTTCAAACGTTCTCAGGCTCACTTGATGGCTGCGTTTTGTTTTCTGATTTGCTCAATTTCGATAAGTTGTGAAGTTGTTCTAAATAAACACTTCAAAAGTTGCCAATTTTGCTACGTTTTTCGTAAACATCGTAGAAGTGGACGAAAAATTTAATTTTTCGGATTATCTCTTGCTAGTGTGGCTACAATGACTTTTTGACAGGGAAAGTATATATGCCTTGCCCTTCTCCAGCTCCTTCTTTGGCCTATTCATTGCACAAAGCTGCTTAAGCACACTTAAGCGCATTAGCATTTGGATGGCAGGGACCATATTGACCTTGCATTTGGAGGGCCTAAATGAGTGAAAGATGGAGCGATTTGTTAGGGCTTTAGAAACCAGCCTTGGGGGGGAACCGGGGAGGGTTGTTCCACTTTCACTTACTGCTTGGTGTTTGTTCTAATCTGGTGTGCCGTTTCGGGCAAGCAGGACTGATTTGTGACATTTCAGTCTAAAGGCCCTTTTTCTGCCCGTTATATTGGCTTGACCTGATTAACTAATCTGTGCTTTGAATTTCAATCAGACCGCTCCCTGCAGTGTGGTATGGGAACCACTGGCTGAAGGATTACCTCATTCAACTGTCTTCAAACACAGATGGTTGAATGTTTAACTAATTGTTAAAAGAGTCCACAAAGGGGAATTTAACCATGCACACGGTCCACAGGGTCAATACATAGCACAGAATAAAGAGGGGGACAGTAAGATGGGGCTGTTTTTGGGTGTGGGGGGGGGGGGTCTTTAAAAAAATCCTTCAAATGCATAGTGGTGTGCATGAGTTCTGTGTGTGGACTGTAGAATGGTCATTAGTAATGTGATACAGTATAGCCTTCTGTACTGTAGGCTGTACCGCCAGAGAGAGGGAGAGAGTGTGTGTGCGAGTGATGTCCTGTGTTTTATCCTTTGACACCATACGAAATATTGTTACATTTGTTTTGTCCAAGCCTATCTCAATCTACCTCAGTATGATATATTGCTCCATCCTATGAGAAGTATGGAATCCTGCCACTAACCCTCCCTTTCCTTCTACAGAGTCTGTGTTCCACTGCCACCATGCAGACGGTCAGAGTAGGTGACACCAATGAAGTCGAGAAGCTAATATTCAGAGAATCAGAGAACGATCGCGAGGTATGCTACAGCATTGAAGTTGGTTCATAACAAGACGTAAATGCACTGTACACACACAATACCTTCAAAGTTTTGTCAGAATTACTAATGTACAGCACCTCACCTGAACAGGGAATAGCTTCTTTGTAATGTGCTCAGTTTAGCCCTATAGCGAGAATCAGACATAAGTGTACAGGTGGAGTTATAGTACTGAACACTTCAGACATAATGAATGCTGCTCCCAACACCACAGCACATTACCCTTCATTAAATTAATTAAAGCTCTAATTATAAAGTGCTGGTTCAGATGAGGATCGCTATTAATCAGTCCACTGTTCTCCTCCCCTCTTCTGCCCCTTTTAGGTTGTACTTCAACTTGAAAAGAAGCTTTTTAATTATATCAACCAGGATGTTTTCCGGGAAAACAATGGGACCCTGGTAAGACATTAATTTTGTTTGATAACTTTTAGAACTCTGGAAGGTTTATTCAATTCATTTTTATTGAGGCCATTAAGACATTCAGTTGGGACATTCAAAGTAACAGGAATGTTCAACATTTACAACATGTCATCTTTAGACAGAGGCCAACATTCACTGTAAAACAAGTAAATGAAAGTCACTGATGCAGAATTAGATTTTAGTTTTTTTTGGGGGGGACAGGGGGTGAGGTAAAACGATTAGGACACACAGTTGGTGTCATTGTGACAGAAGCGAGCGGTGCAGATGGTCTGAAGGATGCCCTCACGCTTTCCTGCCTCGTATAAACACTGATTTCAATCTAGGAAAATATTTACTGGGTACCAAATAGAAGAAAACGGATTGAATAACCGAGGGACTACCTTGACCTGGTCCAATACACACATATTCGTTTTCCGTTGCAAAACGCTTTGAAATGTTTTCCGTTGTGTGTCATAATGAATACAACCCTGATTCGTATCATCCTGACCCGTCCTATTGGGACACAGCTATACACTAAGTGTATGTGTGTATGTTCATGCAATTGGACATATGTAACAGCGTATAACAGGCAATTGGACACATGTAAGACTTATGTTACACACATCAGGACTCCTAATGACCATGTCATAATAATAGCCAATAATCCATGTGACACATATGACTCTTCAAGTAGTCTGTCTGTCTGTGTGTGTATACATACTGTGAGTGTATGTGTGGCTGTATGTCTGTGTCTCTGTGTTGGTATGTGTGTGTTTATGTGGTGTGTGTTTGTGCCCCAGGAGGCCCCCACTTTCCTCTCCCCCTCCCCTGCAGGGCTCAGCAAGATAAATGGTGTAATGGGGCATCAGAGATAATCTGATGGTCATAGTCTAGTTAAACACACCGTGCTATGATCCTTATAAAACAAACTACCTTTCCAAAAGGATAAATGTTCCCCCCTGCACCCCTCCTCCTCAGAAAAATAAATCCATTGCATCCTTCATCAACTACTAGGCTTGACAGAAATGTAATTCGAGGCACCTCTCGAAAATAATTATTATATTTTGAGAGGAGTAATCATTGGTCGGGACATGATTGAATGTGTCCATGCCTATTGATTTTTGCTATGATTAATAGGTTTGTTTAGTCGATATTCCCATCGAAATTGTATAATTAATTATCCCCGCCGCTGTCAGGCCGGGACGATGGAGAGCACTGATAAGTATTTGGGACGATTACCTTTTCCGGGAGTCGTGGCATCAAGGGACACAGGGGCTTGCTCCTCGGCAGAGGTAGAGATGGTGGATCTATGTTCCCGGGAACAAGGATTCTGTGCAGACGCGTGCCCCCTCCTCTCCACTACCTCCTATCTATCCAGTAGCGAATCTTCCATCCAGTAGCCCTCCTCTCTCTCCTCATCATTGATTTTGTTTCAGTATCTCTTTATTGTAACTTTATCAGTGTGGTGTCGGCAGACGGCTGGGAAGGAGGAGGGGTAAGAGGGGGGTGTATTGGGGTCCTGTTTCGAGTGATGAACTTTTCTGTCGGGGCCGCTCCTCCTTGTCATGCTCCCTGCGTACTCGCAACATTACTCAAGCCGCAAGAGTTTTCGAGATTAAGTAAATAAATATATAAATAAAGATCCATCCCCTCCCCGGCTAAACTTCTTTCATATTTTACCTGTCAGTGCTCTTAAGTGGTAATACAGCAGCATGCTAAATAAAATGTGACCTTAGCTAGGAAGAAAAACATGGAAGGCCAGGGAGAATGGGCTTCTGTGCTGTCTCTTATACCGGAGTGCCTCACTACAGTGAATAGCTTATTGATCAGTTCCTCAGTCTGATCATTTACATTTACGTCATTTAGCAGACGCTCTTATCCAGAGCGACTTACAAATTGGTGCATTCAACTTATGATAGCCAGTGGGACAACCACGTGCCTTCGGAAGGTGGTCAGTGACTCCGCTGTCCTGGAGTCGTGGGGGAGCTTGTTCCACCATTGGGTTGCCAGAGCAGCGAATAGCTTTGACTGGGCTGAGCGGGAACTGTGCTTCCGTAGAGGTAGGGGGGCTAGCAGGCCAGAGGTGGATGAATGTAGTGCCCTCGTTTGGGTGTAGGGTCTGATCAGAGCCTGAAGGTAAGGAGGTGCCGTTCCCTTCACAGCTCCGTAGGCAAGCACCATGGTCTTGTAGTAGATGCGAGCCTCAACTGGAAGCCAGTGGAGTGTGCGGAGGAGCGGGGTGACATGAGAGAACTTGGGAAGGTTGAACACCAGATGGGCTGCAGCGTTCTGGATAAGTTGTAGGGGTTTAATGGCACAGGCAGGGAGCCCAGCCAACAGCGAGTTGCAGTAATCCAGACGGGAGATGACAAGTGCCTGGATTAGGACCTGTGCCGCTTTCTGTGTAAGGTAGGGTCGTACTCTGCGAATGTTGTAGAGCATGAACCTGCAGGATCGGGTCACCGCTTTGATGTTAGCGGAGAACGACAGGGTGTTGTCCAGGGTCACGCCAAGTTTCTTTGCACTCTGGGAGGAGGACACAATGGAGTTGTCAACCGTGATGGCGAGATCATGGAGCGGGCAGTCCTTCCCCGGGAGGAAGAGCAGCTCCGTCTTGCCGAGGTTCAGCTTGAGGTGGTGATCCGACATCCACACTGATATGTCTGCCAGACATGCAGAGATGCGATTCGCCACCTGGTTATCAAAAGGGGGAAAGGAGAAAATTAATTGTGTGTCGTCTGCATAGCAATGATAGGAGAGACCATGTGAGGATATGACAGAGCCAAGTGACTTGGTGTATAGAGAGAATAGGAGAGGGCCTAGAACTGAACCCTGGGGGACACCAGTGGTGAGAGCACGTGGTGCAGAGACATATTCTCACCACGCCACCTGGTAGGAGCAGGACCAGCGGTGTCATTTGACTTAATAAATGAGGATCGGATGTCTTCAACCTTCTTTTCAAAATGGTTGACGAAGTCATCCACAGAGAGGGAGGAGGATTCAGCAGGGAGGAGTTTCCTAGGGTTAGAGGCAGAGGCTTGAGTTGTAGAAAGTGGCTTTAGCAGCAGAAACAGAGGAAGAGAATATAGAGAGGAGGGAGTTTTCTTCCATTTCCGCTTGGCTGCCCGGAGCCCTTTTCTGTGAGCTCGCAATGAGTCGTCAAGCCACGGAGCTTACCAGCCAGGAGGATAGGGGACATAGAGAGTCAAAAGATGCAGGAAGGGAGGAGAGGAGGGTTGAGGAGGCAGAATCAGGAGATCGCAGGGAGAAGGATTTAGCAGAGGGAAGAGATGATAGGATGGAAGAGGTGAGAGTAGCGGGAGAGAGAGAGCGAAGGTTGTGACGGCACATTACCATCTGAGTAGGGGCAGAGTGAGTAGTGTTGGAGGAGAGCGAGAGAAAAGGAAACAAAGTAGTGGTCGGAGACTTGGAGGGGAGTTGCAGTGAGATTAGTAGAAGAACAGCATCTAGTAAAGATGAGTTCAAGCATATTGCCTGCCTTGTGAGTAGGGGGGGATGGTGAGAGGGTGAGGTCAAAAGAGGAGTGGAAAGAAGGAGGCATAGAGAAATTAGTCAAAGGCAGACGTAGGGAGGTTAAAGTCACCCAGAACTGTGAGGGGTGAGCCATCCTCAGGAAAGGAGCTTATCAAGGCGTCAAGCTCATTGATGAACTCTCCAAGGGAACCTGGAGGGCGATAAATGATAAGGATGTTAAGCTTGAATGGGCTAGTGACTGTGACAGCATGGAATTCAAATGAGGAGATAGATAGATGGGTCAGGGGGAAAAGAGAGAATGTCCACTTGGGAGAGATGAGGATTCCTGTACCACCGCCGTGCTGACCAGATGCTCTCGGGTATGCGAGAACACATGATCAGACGAGGAAAGAGCAGTAGGAGTAGCAGGGTTTTCTGTGGTAATCCATGTTTCCGTCAATGCCAAGAAGTCGAGGGACTGGAGGGTAGCATAGGCTGAGATGAACTCTGCCTTGTTGGCCGCAGAACGGCAGTTCCAGAGGCTGCCGGAGACCTGGAACTCCACGTGGGTCATGCGCGCAGGGACCACCAGATTAGAGTGGCAGCAGCCACGCGGTGTGAAGCGTTTGTATGGCCTGTGCAGAGAGGAGAGAACAGAGATAGACAGACACATAGTTGACAGGCTACAGAAAAGGCTACAATAATGCAAAGGAGATCGGAATGAAATTGACTAAACATCTGGGAAAGCGAGAGAGTGGGGCCTCCCTCACTTACGTTTCACTGAAACACTCAAATATAACTCTCCCAACTTCCACTTTAGACATTATAATTGTTGTGAACTACAGCGGTTCAATTTTTTCTAGGAATAGACTCTAACTTAGTTTATTCAGCTATCTAACTTGGTACAGTATTCTTCTGTGAAAACCGCCCATGGCACCTTATCCTATGATGCCATAGCTAACTAGCATGCTAGCTTCCAATAACATGGTTTAGCACCAATACACGGTTACAACAAACTACCAATAGTGTGTTAACACGCTAAACAGATCATTCGTGTCCGTGTCTAACGTTGTGTAAAGTTTTGGGGTTAGTTTTGACAGTTTGAGTGAGTACGTCGTCAACTTATTCAGCCAGTTAGTTAGCTAGCTAGAATAGTTAGCATATTAGCTAGCCATTGCGCCACACACAGAGAGAGCCAAGCTAACGTTAACTAGTCACCCATGTCTTAAATTCCTTTTGAACGACGCTGGTTACCAGTATGTAAAAATAATATAAAAATAAATGTAGGTTATAACTTACCCTTAGTAGCTACTGTTAGCTAGTTAAGTGTAAAGCTAGCTACTGAATCGATTTAGCCAGTTCGCGTTTGTCCCAACGGAGAGAAAGCATCTCCAAACATTACAGCTAGGTCGTTCCAGCTATTGTTTAGTTAGCTATCCAGGTAGCAACAAGCTAGCTACATTTCGAGTACAGTAGCTACTAACTACCTAACGTTAACGCTTCAGATAATGAGGTTAGAAAAACAGCTGAATGGTAGGTAGCTAGCTGGCATAATTACAGGTACTCTTAAGTGTGAAATAACATTGGAAACAACTATCCACAGTTGCTAATTGTTACCAGTAGCTACCCGCTAGCTAGCTAGCTTTATTGGTCCAGGTAGTGGGTTAGCTAGCCTCGTGCTTCACCGGGCTCAGCCGAATACAATACTTACCTACAATAATTACCTACAATAACTACCTAGATAAACTACCTACAATACCTAACTACAATACTTACCTACAATCTAAATACATGGTTTAAGCTTTACTCGACACCATATAAAGAAGAAGCCAAGCTTACCTCCCACTTAGAGAAACACAACCTCACCCCATCGCCACCTCCACTACCTGTGATCATGATGTATATAGCGTATATATTATATACAGTGCCTTGCAAAAGTATTCAGACCCCTTGGATTTCTTCCCATTTTATTGTGTTACAAAGTGGGATTAATATTGATTTAATTGTCATTTTTTGTCAACAGTCTACTCAAAATACTCTAATGTCAAAGTGGAAGGAAAGTATTTTTATTATTTTTTTTATAACAACTAACAGCTTTGCACACCTAGATTGTGCAATATTTGCCTATTTATTCTTTTTCAAAATTCTTCAAGCCCTGTCAAGATTTTGGGGATCATGGCTAGAAAGCAATTTTTAAGTCTTGCCATAGATTTTAAAGCAGATTTAAGTCAAAACTGTAACTTTGAATATTCACTGTCTTCTTGGTAAGCAACTCCTGTGTAGATTTGGCCTTGTGTTGTAGGTTATTGTCCTGCTGAAAGGTGAATTCCTCTCCCAGTCTCTGGTGTAAAGCAGACTGATGGAGGTTTTCCTCTAGGATTTTGTCTGTGCTTAGCTCCATCCCCTTTCTTTTTATCCTGAAACACTCCCCAGTATTTGCCTATGTCAAACATACCCATACCATGATGCATCCACCACCATGCTTGAAAATAAGGAGGTAGTTACTCAGTGATGTGTTGTGTTGGATTTGCCCCGAACATAAGGCTTTGCATTTAGGCCAAAAGGTGTATTCCTTGGCTGTGTTTTTTTGCAGTATTACTTTAGTGCCTTGTTCCATATTTGTATTCTGTATATTTGTATTCTTCTGTTCACTCTGTCATTTAGGTCATTGTGGAGTCACTACAATGTTGTTGATCCATCCTCAGTTTTCTCCCATCACTGCCGTTGAACTCTGTAGCTGTTTTAAAATCACCAATGGCTTCATGGTAACAACCCTAAGCAGTTTCATTCCTGTCCTGAAGCTCAGTTCAGAAGCACGACTGTTTGTGTCTGAGTAGTTTAATGCATAATCCACAGCATAATTATTGACTTGACCATGGTTAAAGAGATATTCAAGGATGATTTGTCATTGTTATGCATCTACCAATCACTGCCCTTCTTTATGAAGCTTTCGAAAAGCTCCCTGGTCTTTGTAGTTGAATCTGTGCTTGAAATTCAATAGTTGACTGAGGGACCTTACAGATGTTGTATGTATGGGGGACAGAGGAAGGGTTAGTCATAAAAAAATCATGTCAACCCCTATTATTTCACACAGAGTTAGTCCATGTAATTTATAATGTGATTGGTTAGAGATACTTCGGGATTTTAGTAATGTCTCTGTGTGCAGTATGAAGGAAGTTAGAGGTAGTTTTGTGAGCCAATGCTAACTAGCGTTAGTGCAATGGCTGGAAGTCTATGGGTATCTATTAGCATGCTAGCAGATTCCCATAGACTTCCAGTCATTGCGGTAACGCTAGTTAGCAACTTCCTTCAAACTGCACGCAGAGACATAAAAATCATATCCACTGCAGTAGATAAAGGGCTTTATTGCCAAAATCCCGAAATATCCCTTTAAGCCAAATTTTACTCCTGAACTATTTTAGGCTTGTCTAAACAAAGAGGCTATATGCAACAACTATATTTTAGTTATGAATTGTATTGTTTGTAGTTTTTTCTTTCACTTTGACGTTAGAGTATTTTGTGTAGATTGTTCAGTTTGGCCGGGTGTTTTGCTTTGTCATTATGTGTAGATTGATGAGGGGAAAAAAACAATTTAATCAATTTTAGAATAAGGCTGTAACGTAACAAAATTTTGAAAAAGTCAAGGGGTCTGAATACTTTTCGAATGCACTGTATAGTGTAGTTATATCTATATCAAATGCACATATCTAAAAATTCAAGGGGAATTGATATTGCATTCATCTACTTACTTAAAATGTTCACCTAAAAATGAATAACCATAACCGTATACATGTGTGTATTCCCAGACCTGTGTCAAGGGCAAAAATAATAACCCTGAATGGTAGCTTTTCCTATCATCCACATTTAGCTCGTAACAGTTTGTTGTTTACAGACCAAAACAACATTATATATACCAAAGTATTGGGACACCCCTTCAAATTAGTTGATTCGGTTATTTCAGCCACACCCGTTGCTGACAGGTGTATCAAATCTCCATAGACAAACATTAGCAGTAGAATGGCCTTACAGAAGAGCTCAACTGTAAAGTTTGGTGGAGGAGGAATAATGGTCTGGGGCTGTTTCATGGTTCGGGCTAGGCCCCTTATTTTTACATACAATGACATTCTAGACTATTCTGTGCTTCCAACTTTGTGGCAACAGTTTGTGGCCCTTTCCTGTTTCAGCATGACAATTCCCCCGGGCACAAAGCGAGGTCTGTACAGAAATGGTTTGTCGAGATCGGTGTGGAAGAACTTGGCTGGCATGCACAGAGCCCTAACCTCAACCCCATCGAACGCCTTTGGGATGAATTGGAACGCCGACTGCGAGCCAGGCCTAATCACCCAACATCAGTGCCCGACCTCACTAATGCTCTTGTGGCTGAATGGAAGCAAGTCCCCGCAGCAATGTTCCAACATCTAGTGGAAAGCCTTCCCAGAAGAGTGGAGGCTGTTATAGCAGCAAAGGGGGGACCAACTCCATATTAATGCCCATAATTTTGGAATGAGATGTTCGACGAGCAGGTGTCCACATACTTTTGGTCATGTAGTGTATGATAAGTCTTTAGCCTCTAGCCGGCTGGCTGCATTTGTTTGTGTTGACCCTCTCAAGGCGGTCGGCCATTCCCTGTCAGCGACAGTTTATAGTTTCCACAACAAATAATTAAGATCTCATAAAACGAAGAAAAAATATGGCCCTGCAATGAAAGCCAAGTGTGTGGCTTAAAAATAAAATTAAATGACCTTTCACCTCTGCGTTTATTGATGGCTTTTAATGGCAGCAGGTGTTGTCAGAGGGATAGTTTGACATGTTGTAAATCATTGCACAATTATGGGCTTGGACAACCACAGGCTGGATTGGAGGGACTGTCAGCCCAGATACCATTTATTCCCTCTGTCCCTGCAACTTCTCCCTCTTATAACGATCACAGCTACCATGATTTAGGTGTGTTGCTCATTCAGGCGAAGTATGAAATCTGAACACTGGACTTTTTTAGGGGAGGGGGGGGGGGCACATCTTTCTCCTTGTCTATGATATTGCCCGAGCCATATCAGCTAGCAGCCCTCTCCAAGGTCATTTCGGGCTGACAAACTACTCCGCCGTCTTTATAATGCAACGAGGCCTTGAACCAATATAAACTGGGATTTTTTTACTGCTGACCTACCAGAACAGCAAATCATTATGCTTAATTGACCCGGGATGAAATGTAGTGTGAAATTTCAGCCCTTGGGTTTTCCAGTCAACCTAAATGAATTACTCAACATTCACTTAGAGGCTCTATGCACACGCACACACACACACACAGACACATACACACACACACACACATCATGGAAACACAGTGCGCTTCATCACCCCCCAACACAGCTCATCTGCTGCTTTTTAAAGGTGTCACTTCTCATCTCGGCTGCACTAGCTCCACAGAGACAAACACACCTGTCCATACACACTCACAGAAACACACTGGTGTACACACACACCCAGGTAGTCTATTAGGGTAAAAACAGACACAGACATGAGGTGCACACACAAACAGGGACAATTACATTCTGCACCTCTATAAATGTTTACAGTCAATTATTTATATTATCAGCCACACACACACACACAAACCAACTTGCTGTACATCTTGACATACTCTGTTACAAACATATATGCTGGCACACTCTTCCACTAAGGGCTCTTCACACACACACTGGGAGCGTGTCATTGCGAGATTGGTGGTGCACAGTGAAGCGTGTAGCGCATCCTCCGGGCTCCATTCCTGATTCACATTGTGTGAGCTCTCCTGTGACCCTGCCTCCTGTGAGTTTGATGAATGTTACACATCTGCCCTCCTGAACCACAGAGACTCTGTCTGAGGGCCCCACTGCCTAGAAAGTAATGTCCACTGTTCTACACCACTGGCACACACACATACAGATACAGATGCTCACAGTTTACACATAAGTATGCATACAGTAGGCTACTCGCACATGAACTTGCTCATACACACTTGCACAGGCTCCAGACATACACAGCCATGTCAATGTATCCCACATATGTATGTGAAAATTCCAATCAAGTTTTAAACTAGCTTAAAAACATTTACAGTGGGGAGAAGAAGTATTTGATACACTGCCGATTTTGCAGGTTTTCCTACTTACAAAGCATGTAGAGGTCTGTACTTTTTATCATAGGTACACTTCAACTGTGAGAGACGGAATCTAAAACAAAAATCCAGAAAATCACATTGTATGATTTTTAAGTAATGAATTTGCATTTTATTGCATGACATAAGTATTTCATCACCTACCAACCAGTAAGAATTCCAGCTCTCACAGACCTGTTAGTTTTTCTTTAAGAATCCCTCCTGTTCTCCACTCATTACCTGTATTAACTGCACCTGTTTGAACTCGTTACCTGTATAAAAGACACCTGTCCACACACTCAATCAAACAGACTCCAACCTCTCCACAATGGCCAAGACCAGAGAGCTGTGTAAGGACATCAGGGATAAAATTGTAGACCTGCACAAGGCTGGGATGGGCTACAGGACAATATGCAAGCAGCTTGGTGAGAAGGCAACAACTGTTGGCGCAATTATTCGAAAATGGAAGAAGTTCAAGATGACGGTCAATCACCCTCGGTCTGGGGCTCCATGCAAGATCTCACCTCGTGGGGCATCAATGATCATGAGGAAGGTGAGGGATCAGCCCAGAACTACACGGCAGGACCTGGTCAATGACCTGAAGAGAGCTGGGACCACAGTCTCAAAGTAAACCATTAGTAACACACTACGCCGTCATGGATAAAAATTCTGCAGCGCACGCAAGGTCCCCCTGCTCAAGCCAGCGCATGTCCAGGCCCGTCTGAAGTTTGCCAATGACCATCTGGATGATCCAGAGGAGGAATGGGAGAAGGTCATGTGGTCTGATGAGACAAAAATAGAGCTTTTTGGTCTAAACTCCACTCGCCGTGTTTGGAGGAAGAAGAAGGATGAGTACAACCCCAAGATCACCATCCCAACCGTGAAGCATGGAGGTGGAAACGTCATTCTTTAGGGATGCTTTTCTGCAAAGGGGACAGGACGACTGCACCGTATTGAGGGGAGGATGGATGGGGCCATGTATCGCGAGATCTTGGCCAACAACCTCCTTCCCTCAGTAAGAGCATTGAAGATGGGTCGTGGCTGGGTCTTCCAGCATGACAATGACCCGAAACACACAGCCAGGGCAACTAAGGAGTGGCTCCGTAAGAAGCATCTCAAGGTCCTGGAGTGGCCTAGCCAGTCTCCAGACCTGAACCCAATAGAAAATCTTTGGAGGGAGCTGAAAGTCTGTATTGCCCAGCGACAGCCCCGAAACCTGAAGGATCTGGAGAAGGTCTGTATGGAGGAGTGGGCCAAAATCCCTGCTGCAGTGTGTGCAAACCTGGTCAAGACCTACAGGAAACGTATGATCTCTGTAATTGCAAACAAGGTTTCTGTACCAAATATTAAGTTCTGCTTTTCTGATGTATCAAATACTTATGTCATGCAATAAAATGCAAATTAATTACTTAAAAATCATACAATGTGATTTTCTGGATTTTTGTTTTAGATTCCGTCTCTCACAGTTGAAGTGTACATATGATAACAATGACAGACCTCTACATGCTTTGTAAGTAGGAAAACCTGCAAAATCGGCAGTGTATCAAATACTTGTTCTCCCCACTGTATGTGTTGGGATTGTGGATTGATAGAATGGCGCCGGAGGGGATGGGCTCCTGACCAATTGTGCTATTTTGTGTGTTTTTTTTGCGCTGATCATATGACCGAAAACAGCTTCTGGACATCAAAACAGCGATTACTAACCTCAATTTGGATGAGGACTTCTATTTTAACAAATCGGAGGCGGACATAATGCTAATCTCAGACCAGGCCCAAATCCCTGTCACTCGGAGGAGGGGGAGGCAGCGCTACAGAGGTTGACATGCAGGATTTGTAACGAGACTGCGACGGCATTTGGACAAGTCGCCATTACCCTTCGTTCTATTGGCGAACCTGCAATCACTGGAAAATAAACTGGATGAGCTCTGTTCGAGACTATCCTATCAACGTGATCTGAAAAACTGTAATATCCTATGTTTCACGAGTCGTGGCTGAACAAGGACCATATAAATCTAGCTGGCAGGACAGAACAGCTGCGTCCGGTAATCTGAGGGGGGGGGGGGTCTCTTTATCAATTGGTGCGCGATCTCTAATATTAAGGAAGTCTCGAGGTTCTGCTCGCCTGAGTAAGAATACCTCATGATAAGCTGTAGACGACACTATTTACCAAGAGAGTTTTCATCTATATTTTTCATAGCTGTCTATTTACCACCACAAACCGATGCTGGCACTAAGACCGCACTCAACGAGCTGTATAAGGCCATAAGCAAACAAGAAAATGCTCACCCAGATGCGGCGCTCCTAGTTGCCAGGGATTTTAATGCAGGGTAACTGAAATCCGTTTTACCTAATTTCTACCACGAAAAAACTCTAGATCACCTCTACTCCACACACAGAGATGCATACAAAGCTGTCCCTCGCCCTCCATTTGGTAAATCTGACCATAACACCATCCTCTTAATTCCTGTTAAAACGCAAACAGGAAGTACCAGTGATGCGCTCAATACGGAAGTGGTCCGATGAAGCGGATGCTAAGCTACAGGACTTTTTCGCTAGCACAGATTGGAATATGTTCCGGGATTCATCTGATGGCATTTTGGAGTTTACCACATCAGTCACTGGCTTCATGAATAAGTTAATCGACAACATAGTCCACACAGTGACCGTACGTACATATCCTAACCAGAAACCATGGATTACAGCAACATCCACACTGAGCTAAAGGCTAGAGCTGCCACTTTCAAGGAGCGAGACACAAATCCGGATGCTTATAAGAAATCCCACTACGCCCTTCGACAAACCATCAAACAGGCAAAGCGTCAATACAGGACTAAGATTGAATCCTACTACACCGGCTTTGACGCTCGTCGGCTGTGGCAGGGCTTGCAAACTATCACGGATTGTAAAGAGAAACCCAGCCGCAAGCTGCCCAGTGACGCGACCCTACCAGACGAGCTAAATGCCTTCTATGCTCGCTTCGAGGCAAGTAACACTGAACAATTCATGAGAGCACCAGCTGTGCTGGACGACTGTGTGATCACGCTCTCCATAGCCGATGTGAGTAAGACCTTTAAACAGGTTAACATTCATAAGACTGCGAGGCCAGCTGGATTACCAGGACGTATACTCAGAGAATGCGCTGACCAGCTAGCAAGTGTCAACCTCTCCCTGACCCATTCTGTAATACCCACATGTTTCAAGCGACCACCATAGTCACTGTGACCAAGAACACCAAGGTAACCTGTCTAAATGACTATTGCCCCATAGCACTCACATCTGTAACCATGAAATGCTTTGAAAGCCTGGTCATGGCTCACATCAACACCATTATCCCAGACACCCTAGACCCACTCCAATTCGCATACCGCCCCAAAAGATCCACAGATGACGCAATCTCTATTGCTCTTTCCCACCTGGACAAAAGGAACACCTACGTGAGAATCCTGTTCATTGACTATAGCTCAGCATTCAACACCATAGTGCCCTCCAAGCTCATCATTAAGGACCCTGGGATTAAACACCTCCCTCTGCAATTGGATACAGGACTTTCTGATGGGCCACCCCCAGGTGGTGAGGGTAGGCAACAACACATCTGGCACGCTGATCCTCAACACAGGGACCCCCCCTCAAGGGTGCGTCCTTTGCCCCCTCTGGTACTCCCTGTTCACCAACTACTGCTTGGCTACAGGGAGGTCGTCAGAGACCTGGCAGTGTGGTGCCAGGACAACAACCTCTCCCTCAATGTCAGCAAGACAGTAAACAAAGGGCCGAGCATGCCCCCATTCACATCGACGGAGCTGTAGTGGAGATGGTCGAGAGCTTCAAGTTCCTAGGTGTCCACATCACTAAGGACATTTCATGGTCCAAAACACACCAACATAGTCGTGAAGAGGGCACAACAATGCCTCTTCCCCCTCAGGAGGCTGAAAATATTTGGCATGGGCCTTCAGATCCTCAAAAAGTTATACAGCTGCACTATTGAGAGCATCTTAACTGGCTGCATCACCGCTTGGTATGGCATCTGCTCGGCGTCCGAGCAGTTGCCATACCAAGGGTAGTGCGTACGGCCCAGTACATCACTGGGGCTGAGCTCCCTGTCATCCAGGACCTCTATACCAGGTGGGGAAGGCCCTAAAAATGGTCAAAGACTCCAGCCACCCAAGTCACAGTCTGTTCTCTCTGCTACAACACAGCAAGCAGAACCGGAGCACCAAGCCTGGGACCAAAATGCTCTTGAAGAGCTTCTACCCCAAAGCCATAAGACTGCTGAACAGTTAATTAAACAGCTACCCAGACTTTCTGCTTTTCACCCCCTACCTACATCTACATAGTACTTAAATCAGTCACCTAACCAAACCTACATGAACATATTACCTCAATCAATCACCCCAACTACCTCGTACCCCAATACACTGACTCTGTACCGGTACTCTTTGTATACAGCCTGTATATAGCCTTTTTATTGTTATTTTGTTATTTTATTGTGTTTTATTTTGATCTATTTGTTAATCTTCTTAATTTTTAACTGCATTGTTGGGAAAGGGCTCGTAAGTAAGCATTTCACAGTAAAGTCTACACTTGTTGTATTTGGTGCATGTGACAACTAAAATTTGATTTGATTGATTTGATGACTGTTTTTGTACTCCACTGATAAGACACCACTCACTCCTCTGACAATCCTCCCTCACCTACCCTCTGTTTGGCTGGTTGTTTGGTTTTTATCAGTGTTTATCACTGTCCTAGATCGAGATTACATTATCATCTAGATGGTGATTCCATTCCATTCACTCTACTGTTACATGTCGTACAGCAATGTAATGTTGTTGTCAAGCTAGCTTTATAACTACTGACAGTATCACGAAGGCAGTGTAGAGGACCTCATCAGACTATATCTGATATGTGTTCTGTTGAGGGTGTCAGTTTACCACCAAATGAACATGCTCTGGTATGTTCCTGCTAGCTGCCAGTCAGTCAGGAAGGGGCAGGGTCTTTATGTATCCTGCAGGGTTGCCCAGATACCTGTCCGTCGCTCAGGGAGCCAGCGATGCAGATGCCCCTGCTACCTGCTCATCTCCCAGATAATTAATGTGTACAAGGAGCTGCTAATTGCACTTCTCACTAATGATTTATGGGATTTGGGAAGGGGGGGAGATGGGGTGGGGGTGTAAGTCTGTGCTGGTGCTGGTGCAGTCAGAGGGAGTGCAGCTGGGAGACGGGACATGATTGATGAAGACTGTTTAGATCCACTGTCAGCGTAGAGCGACAGAGACAGACCCCCACCCTCTGCAGCAGACTGGGGGCTGCGATAGGACAGGACAGGGATGGCTCTGGAATAGCCAGGTCAAAAACACACACATCAACACTGGTCAGCTGTTCTCACACACTTGCCTTCATGTACCACCACAATGTTCATGACACTTGTGTAGTATGTTGGTAAAGGCACAAATCCACACATCGAAAAAGGAGAGAAAAGATGCTAACACAATTATTATCCAACACTTACTCATGCATGCAGGAGCCTCACACATTCTCACACACACACTCTCATAGTTATTCACTCAGTGAGTGATGACTAACATAGTGGATATTACTTTCTGTAAAGAAATAAACCCTTTATCACTCACTCTCTCCCTCCCTTCTTCTCCCCTCTCTCTCTTCAGTTTTTACAGTTTGACAGAGAGCTGTCCTGTTTCAAGGAACGGCTGCACGAGCTGGAGATCGCCTTTCCTCCCAGGTATGAAATCCTCTCAATGTTTCCTTATGAATTGATGTCTGTGAACCATAGCTATTCAACTCAATCACTCCTGTTATTCAGTAGTTGTTGTTTTTTTGGACTCTTGGTCATTGGATTTCTTGTACCATTTCATACTGACTAATGTGGTCTTTTAAAGAGGCAGTTCTTCCATAATGGTATGGTACAAGAGCCCAAAATCACCAATTAAATCAATAAAGGTCTTCCAGAGCTGTAACTATCTATTACACTGCACAGTAATTGGTACCTGTATTTGTACTTACCTATTACTGTCTATTATCCTGTATATTAACTGCTTCCCCTGTCTATAACCCCATAAAGTGCCTACTCACCTTCACTATCATGAAATGGCGGCCCTCACCCTTATACCCTTCACCTCTCACTCTAACCATGTGCTAGTTACAGAAGCTACAATACATAGTTATCCAGGACTCAGTCAACAGTGTAGGGTGCCGAAAGATTGAATAACTTTTTGGAAGTACACATTCTATCCATTGGTAAGAGTGTGTTATGAAAAGAAGTGGACCTTACTACTAACCTCACTACAGCACCACATCTTTGAAGAGCAGAGTAAATCAGCAGTGTACAAAGAGGCTGATGTTTTGGTCCATTTATGGTATGGGGCTTTAACATAACTCAATCATCCCTCTTGGCCCAAATGGCTTTGTTTGTGCCAAATATATATTTGATGGTTATCAATTGTTTAGTATGATTGGATGTGCTCCTAAAATGCTCCACTGGGTGTGTGTGTGTGTGTGTGTGTGTGTACGTGTGTGTTTCTGTTCTTACTTGTGTGCGTGTGTGAGGCGGACCGCATTGATATTCCATCACGGTGGGAGTTGGGGGACGTTGGGGCGGGGGTCCTACTACTCGTCTCCTCTTCCTCAAACAAATGCATTTGCAATTAGCCCTTTCAGAGGAGAGGGAGGGAAAACACACACCCGGCCTGCATCGAAATATGTTTCGGCGCTGGCGCGATAATGGTGCTTGACCTTTGCCGTCAGTTGTGACTCAATCAGTCCAGATAATGAAACGCTGTAATCAAACAATAATTACTTGATAAACTGCTCTAGTGGCGGGCACGGGGCGGGGCAGGCGAGGAGTGTGTGTGTGTGTGTCAAGGTCTTGGCAGTCACTGTTTTTAAATGACTGTGTCTTAATCAGGGACCCCATTTACATCGCTTTGCATAAGTGACGGCTAGATTTATTGTCCTTTTACACTCTGTGACCTTTGCACCTATCTATCCATAATATAATATTGAATCATAGTTTCCCTGCCAGGTGAATGAACAGGCTGCTGTGAAAGAATACAAATGATTTTCACCTTCTTGGAAACATGATTAATCAAATTGATGAAACCTTGGCACAGCAGCTGACATTTTATTTGATCCACTCAGTATCTGATACAAGCAACATTGTAAGTGGTGAATGAGTAGAAATGGCCTAGTTAAACTTAAACAACCCCCTCCTCCCATTCACATAACACACACTTGCACCAACAGACACTCACACAGCGCTTGCATACTCCCCCTCCCCCTGTCAGATCTCCCTTGTACTCCATGAGCAATCAAGCACTCAAAGATTGTTCTCCATCACATAGCCTGCTACGGACCAGCCCCTCACCATCTGTGAGGTTATTACTCCCCTTAACACAGGCCATCAGAGGCCCTCTACACACACACACACACACACACACACACACACACACACACGCTCGCTTGCATTCAATCGATAAGTCAATACTGGTCACTCGTGTTTAATCTATCAATGAATCCTGCATGTTGTAGTCTATGTCCACTTGTGAAATTGAGTGGAAAACCATAGCCTAGTTGTCACTGTATTTTAGGAAATGTAGCATGTTGCCAGGTATAAAGATGTCATCAAACCCTCGATTATTTTTGTTTAGAGATTAGGGCCTGTATTCTCAAAGCGTCTTAGAGTAGGAGTGCTGATATAGGATCAGTTTTGTCTTTTTTGATCATAATGAGTAAGATTGTATGGACAGGGGGGACCTGATCCTAAATCAGTATTCTTACTCTGAGACGCTTTATGAATACAGGGCAAGAACTGTAGGTATAAGGTTGTGAAAATGTGTAACAGCAAATAATCATGATCCTCTCTCACCTCCACCAGGCTGCAGTAAAAGCCCAAACGCTCCAAACTGGAGGTTCCATTCCATTTTTTGAATAAGACACTATAGTGTTATTTAGACTATACGTTATTTAATTGTCTGTCCCATACATTCTCGTGCATCGTGTTTGCATTCATGGAATGTGCAACAAGCTGTAAATTCATATCGCTCACCTTCAAGAAGTCGTCTGTCAAAGTTGGCCGTGACATGTCTAAGCACTCGGCCATCGGGGTGTGGAATTTGGCCATAGCCCGCGAGAGTTGTACCTGGTGCCAGCCGGCTGCCACACGCTGATAGGCTAAGGGCTATACCATTCACACAGGAGTGCACGCACACATATTTTAAAAGGTGATATCTGTTGGAGTTTGGTAGTTGGGAATGAGGCACAGTCTATCAATTGTAAACCAATCACATATGATCAAACTAGTAAGCGCCATCCATTCCATTAACGCTCTTCTGAGCAATTTCAAGAAAGGTGCTTGTGCAAAGGTTGACCAACATCTTCGTAACAAATGACAGCATGGCCCCAAGACTGAAAATAACTGAATGGTATACTTACAATTTTACATTTGATTTGGTTTTCTGGAGTAGCATAACTAAGGTAATCTCCCTTAAAACATATAAGGAGGTTGAGTAACTTATATTATTCATATATTTCGATTGATTTAGGAGAATGCTTTTAGTACTGCCCATTATCAGATTTCTTTGCCCTTTTTTTGTCTAAGATCGATGCAAAAATGTAATATAAACCCTGGCGGGGGAAAATTCAGTGAACAATGAGAGAGTAGGGGAATCATTTATTCCTGCTTTAACCAGATTACCCTGAATGGGTTCTGGGGGGATTTTGAGCGTCATCAGACAGATTGGGGTTCTAACTCCATCAATGTACGGCCACATGAGTCCACTACACAGAAAGAGATATGGAGGAGGTAGAAGGGGAGATGGAGAGGTGAGAGCGGAAAGAGAGAAAGATGGGAAGGCGCTTGAGCTAGAAAGGATGACTACAGTCCCATGCGTTTATGTTTGCCAAGTCTAGACAGGCCAGGGGCAGGAGAAGCAGAGAGGAGTGGAGAGGGGCGAATCGGCCAGGAGGTCGTGAGCTAAGGAGTGGCAGGGTGGGCGAGGAGGGCTGCTGATAAACAGTTGTCTCTTCACCGTTTGGTGTTTAACAGAAAGCTGGGAGCGCCCCGGGACCAACCTTGGCAAGTTAGCATACATTTTCCAAACATGGCGGGTCTATGAGGATGGGCCGAAGAGTGACTTCCCCCCTGGGAAAAGACACAGAATTTACAGTGCAGGGGAAAGAAAACCTTGAGAAAAACAAATTACCTCAGTTTAGGGAGGAAAATAGCATTTGGTCCAATGACATAAGTGTTGATCTGCCAATTCTCCAGGACATGCTCTCGAAACGCTCATCCGTCCCCTGTCCCTTCAATAAAGACAGAAAACAAGTTTCAGTTGAAAACAAGCAGCTGACTGCTATCCATTATAATTTATGGCCATGTTAGATTTTCCAACAGTTCACCATTGGATAACAGTGCTTTACTGAGTGTGATGTTTCTTCATTGAATGGTGGAATTTGTGAATGTGCCAGTAAGGCCATTGGTAAACATTTCTTGGCACACTGACTCTCAAATGTTTTTTTTTGTTTTTTTTACACCTTTTTCTCCCCAATTTCGTGATGTCAAATTGGTAGTTACAGTCTTGTCCCATCGCTGCAACTCCCGTACGGACTCAGGATAGGCGAACGTCGAGAGCCATGCATTCGCCGAAAAATGACCCTTCCAAGCCCCACTGCTTCTTGACACATCGCTCGCTTAACCCGGAAGCCAGCCGCACCAATGTGTCGGAGGAAACACTGTACAACTGGCACAACGAGTCACCGTGCATGCGCCCGGCCTGCCACAAGGAGTCGGTAAATGGCGATGGAACAAGGACATCCCGGCCGGCCAAACCCTCCCCTAACCCGGACGACGCTGGGCCAATTGTTTGCCGCCTCATGGGTCTCCCGGTCACGGCCGGCTGCGACATAGACCGGGATCGAACCCGGGTCTGTAGTGACGCCTCTAGCACTGCAATGCCTTAGACCGCTGCACCACTCGGGAGGCCCTACACTGACTCTCCTACTCTCCCTGCAGAATGAGGAAGACACCGAGATCCCGCCTCCTGGGCATCTTAAGAATGATGTCACTGTGTGTGTGCATGTGTGCTGGCCAGGGTAAGCCAAGTGAAGGACATTCTTGTTCTAGCGCCTCTCCTCTGAATGGTTCTCCTATACTCCGGTGGAGGCGCGTGACTCTGTTTATGGAGTACCACAGATGTTCGTTAACTACTGTAAGAGAGGGATTCTAAGGCATGCACACACAGCTGGTATTATTCGCTGGAGTGTAGAGGAGATTGAGCGTTATCATCAGCTGAGGAGGAACATTGTTTCACACTCTCAACACATCCATTATTCTAACTGCTGGGGAGCCATAAAAAATGATGAGGGGCTATTGTAGTATGATGATAGCTGGCCATTTCCAATGGCCATGTGTCTGTGTGCCTCTATCCTGCACTAAAGCTTCACTGGGATGAGAGGGAGCTTTTGTTTAAACGCCTCTGGTATATATAGGGGTTAAATAGACGCTCAAGACTTCCTCTTGAGTGAAAGGGGGGCTGCAGAATAGATGCAGCTCTTCACTGATACAGAACCTCTTGGACAGAGTGTAGCAGTCTGTCCAGTACACACACACACACACACACACAACATGTGAACACACACACAACCTCTGAGTAACCTGTGGCATTTGACACAGTGTTTGTGTTGGGCCAATGTTGTGGCGGTGAGCTCCCCAACCCTGAAATGCGGAGCAAACATTCAGGGAGATTTATTGATAGCAGTTTGTGTGGCTGATCTTTGTAAATGAAAATGGAGGTGTCTATCCTCTTTTCCTGCTCCCGGCCTTGTTTTGCCAAGCCTCCCTTGACAACGGTAAACAAATATGGCTGAGCAGAAGAGGTATCATTCAATTTTTAAAACATTTTCCAGTGAAAATAAAATTACCTGACAGCTCAGCCAATCCCTGCGTCCGTACAGCCCCGTGACACTGAGTCATGTGACCTTAGCCCCATCATGCCCCTCCTGACCTCTGCCCTTGTGTCATTAATACTGTAACAACTCTAATCTCTGGCTTCCTGCCGATATTCACTAGTTTATATTGCCCTCGTTAAATATGTTTGGCTTGTCACTTATTTGTCACTATGTAGAACAAGATAATGGCATTTGGCTGGGAGATAGGAAATGTGGGACGGAACGGGCCTGGCCTGGATGGCGCTCACCAGAGCTTTGTGATTGCAGCCTCGGGATAAAGGCTCTCAATTGGCCTGGCCCGGCCCACCTCCGCTCTCTCAGACCTGGGTTCAAATACTATTTGAATTCATTTCAAATACTTTATCTGGGCTTGATTGAGCTGGTCTGGTGCAATGGAACCAATAGAATACTTGCAAAAGTGCAAACCCCACCCATCTAGCACTCCAGGACTAGAGCAAACGCTACAAGTATTTGAAATATTTCAAATAGTATTTCAACCCAGGTCTGACTGATACACTAGGTTTCACCTCGCCAATCCTCTGTACTGCTCAAACACACAACTGACACTTACCGGAAGAACCTATGAGTGATGTCACAGCAGGCTGTCAAACATTAAACCCCACATGAAGAATGAGTAATGGTGTAGTGGCTTTGAGAGAAGTCCCTGTGTTGAAGTCAGTGAATTTTTCATGTGAGTTTATAGCCCAACAAAAGAGGATGTTTTCAATGATGTGCAGGTACACATTTGACTACATAATTTCCAATGCTTTCCGTCGTGCCATAGTGCATCACGATTTCACTATAAGCATTGACACCAGCTCATGGCTCCTTAAAACCACCTTTATGAATACATATTGTTCACAATGCATTATGCATTACACACAGCCACAGGTGGTTCATAGAAACAAAACTGTTTAGGTAGTTGAGCCAAGCATGGGCGCCTGACTTTGTCTGAAAGTAGGGGTGCAAAAGCTTGGGGGGGTGGGGGTCTTGACTTTTTTTTTGCGCCGTTGTTTAGAGCACTGTCACCATGAACATTTTTTTTATTGACTTGTCTCAGCAGCATACATACTTGATGCAAAGAGGGTAGAAAAGGCATATTTGGTCGATATTACTTACCCAGACAAGCAGACAGACCCGGCACCAGGATAAAGTGACTAAGGGGGCAGTTGGAATTGGTGAGGGGACACAATTTTGGGGGGTTATTGCATTGGAATTATATTGAATTCTACTTATTTCACGCTATACCACCACAATAAACATAAAGTTCAAATGCCGAGACCATTGAGTGCTTTTGAAGTGACAGGTTGGTGCGAAATCTGTAGCCCATCTCTGCTGCGCTGTATCAGCACAATGGACAGCGCCCTACACACTAAAGCAAGGCCTATTTAGCAATGAATATAGACTACAAGATAGATAGGGTAATTCACATATTACAAACTGCCTATGTGAATGCACCTGTTCACACAGCTGACTTATCAAAATAATGCAAACTAAATGCTGAAAATAGTAGCCTAGTTATTCATGCAAAACAAAATACTGAATAGCAGTTTGGCTTAGAATACCAACACAACTGTGAATGCGAACAGAACAAAACAGCGGTAGGCGTACTATAGGTCTATAAACAAAATATCAGATCGATAAAGGCATGACACAATCTATATTTTGTCTAGTTACATTAACAGTAAACAAAAGGAAAAGCCAAAACATAGCCTACAGCAAGATGCAGCCATGCATAGCTGTCTTGCTAAATAAATAGGCCTATAGACCTGCTTCAAACATGAAAAATCATGCAGCTCAAGAGTTCAGCAAAACATTGCAATATGGCACAATACACTTCTTTTGATCAAATGCGACCCACCCACGTAAGCAATTAAGCAATGCCGACCTACCATAAACACGTTTCCAATACGTACAGTTCCATTTACAACCAGGAAAAGCAGTAGGCTACTAAGAAAGCCTACATTCTATTTCTATGGTTATCTATTATGATGATGAAACATACCGATATGTAGCTATACCCAGGGGCGTCATTTGGGTTCTTTCATTGGAATTATATTGAATTCTGCTTATATCACGCTATACCACAATAAACATAAAGTTCAAATGCCGAGACCATTGAGTGCTTTTGACCAAGAAGGGACAGGTTGGCGCGAACGAGGGCACTACGTTCATCCACCTCTGGCCTGCTAGCCCCCCTACCTCTATGGAAGCACAGTTCCCGCTCAGCCCAGCCAAAGCTATTCGCTGCTCTGGCACCCCAATGGTGGAACAAGCTCACCCACGATGCCAGGACAGCGGAGTCACTGACCAACTTCCGGAGACACTTAAAACCCTACCTCTTTAAGGAATACCCGGAATAGTATAAAAGTAATCCTTCTACCCCCCCCCCCCCCCCCCCCCCATATAAAAAAAAAATTTGGTTATCCCACTGGCTATCATAAGTTGAATGCACCAATTTGTTAGTCGCTCTGGATAAGAGCGTCTGCTAATTGACGTAAATGTAAATACCACATAATTCACTTAGCCTACCACAGATGAGCAGTGCATTTTATGGAAACCCAAAGCAGTCATACCTAACCGTCCAGTGGCTTTCCATAGACCCCCTACACACAAACACACACACACACTCCGCGGCGCGCTCTGTCCATGGTGCTGATACAGCGCAGCGGAGATACAGATTTCGCACCAACCTGTCAGGCAATCATTTTAACTTTTTTTGCTATTTTTATATAGGGGCCCGTAAGCAGAACTGTTTTATCCAGACACAAATATCCTGTGCTTTTTCATTTGGTGCGTAGGCACATACAGACACTGTTACTGTTACTTTTCTAACTGAATGAAAACATTTTAACAATGTGATTTAACCGATTGAAGTTGGGAAAATATATCGCAAAAATGCAGAATGGTGTTAAATGCCTGTAAACAGCTTGGGGAGGAACATTATTTCACTGATTTAATCATGTAATATTAGGCCTACTGATTATTTCTCACTATCTACTTGCGAGAGCTACTCATTGATAGCCCACGAGCTACCGGACATGCAGTTTTCTGTTAAGGTGCAACCTTTGGTAGGCTGATGGAAGGCTACTCATAGTCTACGCTAAAGTGAAATGATACAATACATTTGCTTGTGGTGAACGCAGGTCAAATGATACAGTGTGCAACAACACCCCTGGAACAACACCATCGGACAACGATACAAGTATAACAGCACAACAAAATAGATAAACTATTTTATTTTGCAGGTGCCTTTTCATTTTAAACATCAGTGGTGCAACCTAGTGCTTTCTAACTGCACTGAACCAAAACAGTGTTCGCAGGAGCAAAACAAAACTTTGAGTGGACAAAGCCATTCATCTTGAGGCGACGGGGGAGAGGGTGCAAAATGCAATCTGTTAATTATTATATCATATAAAAAATGGACATATCTATGTTAATACAGACTAGCTCAAAACATTACTAATCATTGAAATGGAGGAAAAGCGAGTTGCCCCTTACAAGACATAATCCATTCTGATATCCCGCTCAAACATTGCAAACTCAAATTTGGCCCTATCATCTCACAACTTATTTCAGTCTGGCGCCTTGTTCGGTCTTGTCACTTGTTTCTCTGTCCATGTGTACCTGTTTTGTGTACCTTATTAAAAATAATTAAAACATTTGATCACAAAAAAAAAAGAAATGACAAATTACCCAATGTATCATGATCATTTTCTGGTAAAAAAGTGGGGGTGCAAAAACATTAGTTTGCACCGCTATTTTGAAAGGGGAGTGGGGGGGGGGGCAGCTGCGCCATTGCTCAGGCACCTATGGAGCCAGGTGCAGTACCACCACAGTAGCCTGCCTGAAGGACAGAAGTCTGGCCAACGGACTGGGTGCGCGTGCATGTGCTTGCATGCACAGGCTCTGTCTCACAGCGAGCATGGCACACTGTCACACACACAGGTGGGCAATTGTTGAGTTTATCAGCTCGGCCCCATTAATTAGTGTAATTAGTCTTGCTGCGGGCAATAAGTGCCCGATAGGAGCTGACGGGCTCCGGCCCATACGCCCACTCGCCCCGTTTGCTTTCAGATAAGTTTGTGAGCGCCTTAATCGGACACATTAATCACACAGCACTCCCCAAAGCCACCACTCTGGTGTTTGCTGTTGCATTAGGACCTGTTATCTCAATTGGGGCAATTGGAGGGTGGGGTGAGAAGGGGAGAGTAAGAGGAAGGCAGGACTGCCTGCACAGTTATCGTTTAATCGCCATTGTTGAGTATTGTTAATCACCTTATACAATGATTAATCATCTTTTACGATTGCTATTTTATCATCAAAACCAGTGATAGTGGTTTGTTTTTGGAATATGCTCCACAGCAATATGCTATGAGAGGTTGAATACTCCCTTATATTTCCCTTACAATAGAGAGATAGCATAGTAATTTAGGGCCAGTTCACTGTATGGACTATATGGAGAGTCTGAAGCTAGGTCACCCCTGAAGATGGCTTGATCCCGAGCCACTTTGATGACTTTCCTCTTTTCCTCCCGCACTCTCTTTTTCTGTCTGAGCCCTCTTTACCCCCCCTCTTCTCTATCTCTCTGTATCCCTCATCCTATTCTTTCTCTCCTCTCTGAAAGACTTTCATCCTGTGGATCCATCCTTCATCCCTTCTTTAGCATACCAAAACCTGCTGCATTTCCACATGCTTAAAGTGAAATTAATGTTGGTTATATTACTCATTGTATATCATGCCTGCTTTACTAGAGATCCTGGTTCGAATCCAGGCTCTGTCGTAGCCGGCCGTGACCGGGAGACCCATGGGGCGGCGCGCAATTGGCCCAGCGTCGTCCAGGGTAGGGGAGGGAATGGCCGGCAGGGATGTAGCTCAGTTGATAGAGCATGGCGTTTGCAACGCCAGGTTGTGGGTTCGATTCCCACAGGGTGTATGAAAAAAATAATAATAATGTAAGTCGCTCTGGATAAGAGCGTCTGCTAAATGACGTAAATGTAAATGTAAATGTTTAAGTCTGGTTTTGGGGTGGGGCTCTGTTAGAGCATGGGGGGGTTGGGGTGGGTTTGATTTGATTTGGTAGGGGATCCGTGTGTGTTTTGCCCTCTACCTGTTCTGTCTGTTATATGTATAATCATTAAAAATGCCTAATAAAAAAATTAAATGCCATTAATGTCAATTGGAGGCTATGTGCTCTGTAAGGAGCCTGTAAGGAGCCCTCTGCAGGCCTGTTTGTTCACCCAGCGGGGGGTGCTGTGTGCTGGCCGGATGTGGGTACCTATCGTCCCCTATTCCCACCCCCCGCCCCTGTCCCATAGTCCCCAGTCTGTGGTCACGCTGGTCGCCATGGCACAACTGTAACATTGCCCCCTGTGCTGTGGCAGCTGTCCCAGTGCATTGTGTGTGTGCGTTTGGGGGTGTTTACCAGGCCTCTGTTTGCCCAGTTGGTTCCCTGCCTGGCTGCCTGAGAGTAACACACTCTGCCTTCATGGCTGCCATGTGACAGTGTATGTTGGCCTGCCTTTCACAGCATGGCTGATTGGCCTAAGGAGGTGCCTGTGTGTGTACTCGCAGCCGCTAGTTAGCTAGGTAAATGTGTCCGATAGCTGTGTGCTAACAGGACAAAAATATTTAATCAGCAGCCTCTCATTCGGACAGATGGACCCATCTGACTGACTGATTGGAGAATACTAGGAGGGGTCGCCATGTCATCACATTATAGTGAAACACCCCCATATGCATGCACACACACAGACACAAATATAAATAATAATCACACATGACATTTACAGTATGTAATCCCAGATACACTGTTACTTTCAAGTCTTATTATGTCTTCACCCAAGCTTCTTGACAATAGTGCTTTGGGTAATATAGGACGGCTGTGGTTATTTTGTCATTAGTTTATTACTGGGCCCGGGCGATGCGTGTTGTGTTACGCCGCGGTGAGCCCTGTGTGTAGCACTGAAGGAGCAAATTGGATTGGTATTACAGTATGTAAACCCGGTCCTATCCTGATGAGCCCCGCAAACAAATTGGATTGGTGGCATGTAAATCTGATGCTGTTTGATGAGCTGGAGGGCCAAATTGAATTCTCAACAATGTAAATCTGTATCGGCTCGATGGGCTTCCCGGCGGGCCCGGGCTACTTAAATCATCCGATTGTTCCTCCTGTTACCAGATACAATCTCACTTGGCCATTTGCCACAGCCCTAATCTCTTTTTGATGACTGCATAGGGATGTAGCTGCTGTATGTTTCTGAGAGAGAGAACACTGAGACTGAAACTCCCTCTGCTCTGGCTCTTTCTTTCTCTCTTTCTCTTTCTCTCGCTCTTTCTCTCTCTCTCTCTGTCACTCTCTCACTTACTCACTCAGCTTCTTCCACAGCGAGATCTTCAGACCCTGTACAGTTGGCATGGCTTTTTCCTCACAAGATTGCTCTGATTGAGCCATCCTTCCATGTGTGTATGTTCGAAAGATTATTTCCAGAAAGTCAAAGCTGTGTATCTAATTGGATTCAGTGTTTTCTCCTTTTCTGTACTTTAGCCCCAAACTTAGAAACTCAGTTTGCAAAACTAAACTCCTTTGTTGGCTATGCCTTTTACACAATCAACATTAGAATACACAGAGTTGTCTTTTATGGACCCTTGTTATATGAACTGTAACTGAAGATGGTGTGTTGTTTGGGTTTGTTTCCACAGTTATCCGTACAGTGAAGACAGCAGTCAGGGAAAGCAGTACATGGACACCAGATGCCCTGCCTGGTGTGACCGTGTCCTCATGTCTGCCACAGCTAAAGACCTGGTCTTAAAGGTGAGTTTAACCTTGTGTATATGTAGCCAAAGACCTAGCCTTAAAAGTGAGTTTAACCTCTCACTCCTCCTTTCTCCCCCCCGTTCTGCCAGCCACCCAGATGGAGGGATGTACTGTGTGTGAATATTCATATGGAGAGTTAAACCCAGGGTCCACACAGACAGTATATATATCCCCGATCTTATAGAGTGCCAGTGGGCCATAATGGCTCTATAAAGCTGGAGATCCCTCTGTCTGCTTACTCTCAGAGTCAACACAGTGGCAGAGCCCAAAGCTGTGGCCCACCACCCTGTCCAAATCCAGGAGAGGTATTGTAAGCTTCCAACCAATCTGCCACCTCTCCGTCACTCCCCGTCAGCACAGCACCAGTTTGGGCTCCAGACTGTTGTCTTTCCCCAGTTATTTGATGGATTACATGAAAAATCGACCATGGCTAGTCCCTCCCTTCTGTTCCCATCTGGCTATGACGTTTAGAGAACATGGCGGATCTTGACAAGTGTAGCCTGGGGTTGGATAATACAAAACTGTTTCTAATACCTCTTTAGCACTTGGCATCTACACAAAGGGCATTTCCTAACATGTTTACTAATCAAAATCAAATAAAATGTCTTTATAAATCCCTTTTTACATGTACTTATACAGAAACCCAGCCTAAAACCCCAAACAGCATGCAATGTAGATGTAGAAGCACGGTGGCTAGGAAAAACTCCCTAGAAAGGCAGAAACCTAGGAAGAAATCTAGAGAGGAACCAGGCTCTGAGGGGTGGCCAGTCCTCTTCTGGCTGTGCAGGGTGGAGATTATAAGAGTACATGGCCATTAAGGCCAGATCGTTCTCAAAGGTGTTCTAACATTCACTGTGTTGACCAGCAGGGTTAAATAATAATCACAGTGGTTGTCAGCACCTCAGGAGTAAATGTCAGTTTACTTTTCATAGCCGAGCGTTCAGAGGTCGAGACAGAGAGGGAGGGAGGGAGGGAGAGAGAGACGAAAACAGCAGGTCCGGGACAAGGTAGCACGATGGTGAACAGGTCAGGGTTCCATAGCCACAGGCAGAACAGCAGAAACTGGATCAGCAGCACGACCAGGTGGACTGGGGATGAGGACAGCCAGGAGTCATCAGGCCAGGTAGTCCTGAGGCATGGTCCAAGGGCTCAGGTCCTCTGGGTGGGGGTGGCGAGAGGGAGGGAGAAGGAGGAGAGAGAGAGATATATATAATTAGAGGGAGCATAGTTCACACAGGACACCAGATAAGACAGGAGAATTTCACCAGATAGGACAGACTGACCCTAGCCCCCCGGCACATAGACTATTGCAGCATAGAAAGATACTGGAGGCTATCAGCCTAACTTAACATTTTCCATGTAACTACAACTTTGACAAATGCATCCTTTTTGTATGTTTTCCCTGTTGGTTGCAGTTGTTGTCGGCAAAGGAGTGTGTATAAATCTGTCAGTTCAATTTACACTCAGACGTCCCATTTTTGCTTTAATCAGCCCACTGAATAGATTAAGTTTCTCCACCTATTTGATTACTGTGGTTTTTAAGGTGACAAGAGGAAAAATGTATTGTGTCTAAAAGTGCACTCTCACACTTTATTAAATTGGAGATAGTCCCTGACAAGAGAACAGTTGGAATGAATCTGATGTGATAAATGAGACTAAATTACACCATGAGGCCAGGTCTAGATTTAAGTGAAGGCAGCCACCTCGACATGGCATGGCAGGTGTTCAGTAGGCACAAAATGGTCTGAAATGTGGTAAAACAGAGAGATACTCTGAATTTGTCCAAAATGAAAACTATTATTTTTGCTTTCCGACGGTGTGGACTATTGAACCTGTATGGGGAGGAACTGGCCGCCTGTCAATGGAGAGGAGAGATCCTTTACTGACCACAACACCAGAGCATCCCTTCTTCCACAGTAGCACCTCTCTTCTGTAGTACTGTAGCAGTGCCTGCCATTAACAGTGGGGAAAAAAAGTATTTAGTCAGCCACCAATTGTGCAAGTTCTCCCACTTAAAAAGATGAGAGAGGCCGGTAATTTTCATCATAGGTACATGTCAACTATGACAGACAAAATGAGAAAAAAAATCCAGAAAATCACATTGTAGGATTTTTAATGAATTTATTAGCAAATTATGGTGGAAAATAAGTATTTGGTCAATAACAAAAGTTTCTCAATACTTTGTTATATACCCTTTGTTGGCAATGACACAGGTCAAACGTTTTCTGTAAGTCTTCACAAGGTTTTCACACACTGTTGCTGGTATTTTGGCCCATTCCTCCATGCAGATCTCCTCTAGAGCAGTGATGTTTTGGGGCTGTCGCTGGGCAACACGGACTTTCAACTCCCTCCAAAGATATTCTATGGGGTTGAGATCTGGAGACTGGCTAGGCCACTCCAGGACCTTGAAATGCTTCTTACGAAGCCACTCCTTCGTTGCCCGGGCGGTGTGTTTGGGATCATTGTCATGCTGAAAGACCCAGCCACGTTTCATCTTCAATGCCCTTGCTGATGGATGGAGGTTTTCACTCAAAATCTCACGATACATGGCCCCATTCATTCTTTCCTTTACACGGATCAGTCGTCCTGGTCCCTTTGCAGAAAAACAGCCCCAAAGCATGATGTTTCCACCCCCATGCTTCACAGTAGGTATGGTGTTCTTTGGATGCAACTCAGCATTCTTTGTCCTCCAAACACGACGAATTGAGTTTTTACCAAAAAGTTATATTTTGGTTTCATCTGACCATATGACATTCTCCCAATCCTCTTCTGGATCATCCAAATGCACTCTAGCAAACTTCAGACGGGCCTGGACATGTACTGGCTTAAGCAGGGGGACACGTCTTGCACTGCAGGATTTGAGTCCCTGGCGGCATAGTGTGTTACTGATGGTAGGCTTTGTTACTTTGGTCCCAGCTCTCTGCAGGTCATTCACTAGGTCCCCCCGTGTGGTTCTGGGATTTTTGCTCACCGTTCTTGTGATCATTTTGACCCCACGGGGTGAGATCTTGCGTGGAGCCCCAGATAGAGGGAGATTATCAGTGGTCTTGTATGTCTTCCATTTCCTAATAATTGCTCCCACAGTTGATTTCTTCAAACCAAGCTGCTTACCTATTGCAGATTCAGTCTTCCCAGCCTGGTGCAGGTCTACAATTTTGTTTCTGGTGTCCTTTGACAGCTCTTTGGTCTTGGCCATAGTGGATTATGGAGTGTGACTGTTTGAGGTTGTGGACAGGTGTCTTTTATACTGATAACAAGTTCAAACAGGTGCCATTAATACAGGTAACGAGTGGAGGACAGAGGAGCCTCTTAAAGAAGAAGTTACAGGTCTGTGAGAGCCAGAAATCTTGCATGTTTGTAGGTGACCAAATACTTATTTTCCACCATAATTTGCAAATAAATTCATAAAAAATCCTACAATGTGATTGTCTGGAAAAAAAGATCTCAATTTGTCTGTCATAGTTGACGTGTACCTATTATGAAAATTACAGGCCTCTCTCATCTTTTTAAGTGGGAGAACTTGCACAATTGGTGGCTGACTAAATACTTTTTTCCCCCACTGTATTTGATGGTCTGGGTGTGTGCAGGAGTCTCCAGGATAACAGCCCAGTACAGTAGTCTGCTCACAGCCACACACATCTTTGAGCCCCAGTACACAGAAGGAAGTTGGCTTTCCTTTGTCCTGAACAAATGAGAATAATTCCTTTCTGGCCTTTCTTATCATATACTGAGGCTTTACAGGAAGGTTTGGCCTACCCCCCTTTCCAAAACGCTAAAGAGCCACCAAAAAGCCTATCAATTGTTTCTACAAATAGTAGTTCAACAATTATTTATTTTCTCAATTACAGGTTAATTGTTTATAATTAAGGGAACAGGCTGAGTCTCCTTACGTTAAAATGTTCACAGATTGGCTGATGATGCACTGAGCATACACACACACACACACACACCACAGACACACACACACACAGTCACTCCCAGGCAGCATTACAGATTGTTGAGACATGGGCCTGTAAACAGGCATCCTAGTGGCATCATCTATCATGGCACGGTCGGTTAACTCGCCATCATGTTATTTTCTGCTTGCCGAGCCCTAACACGCCGAAGGTTGCCCGCCGCCTTCGCGGCACAGCGCCAAAGGGTGGAAGCGCGGTAATGAATGTTCAGCCGAGCGCTCTGTTTCTGCAGGAGGGCCCTGGTAATTTGTTTATCTGTCTAAAGATTATGCAGGCCGAAAATCCACAATTTGATGCTGCCTTTGTAAATTATCAGGTCTGTATGTGATGAATGTATCCCGGGCTGCGGGAGGCAGCGACTCAGGCGTTTGGCAGGCGGTTGGGGAAAGTGCTGGAGCGTGGCCCCTCAGAGAGGCAGAGTGAGGTACCCACTGCAAGGTGCACACCAGCGCACTGGTGACCTTAGACTAGCAGGATAGGTTTGAAGTTCATTTGGATTTAAGTTTATGGCCCATTCTAAAGCTACTCTGTGTTCCTTCTCAAGTGGCAGCGTTGTTCACCTAGTCACAGCTGACCGCTCTGACTGTTTAAAAAGTATTTAGTTCTACAAGATAAATATGATTTATTATACTCTAGGCCTGAGATTAATGTCTCAGTGTTTGACACTTCCTTTGTGTGAGATATGGAACATGATTCATTCATATACTGAATCAGCGCTTTTTGTTTGGGAGGTAAATATGGTCTTGGTACAGTTCATGTCTACTCACTCAATTCAATCTTCAAATAAATTGTGCAATATTGAGTTTTAAAGGTTTATTGAACTCCATTTAAACCCTGTTGTTAGTTATAAAGAAGGCATATGCAATCAGGGGTAGGCTAGTACTTCAGGATCAGGTTTACTTATACAGTGCCTTGCAAAAGTATTCATCCCCCTTGGCGTTGTTCCTATTTTGTTGCATTACAACCTGTAATTTAAATTGATTTTTATTTGGATTTCATGTAATGGACATACACAAAATAGTCCAAATTGGTGAAGTGAAATGAAAAAAATAACTTGTTTCAAAAAATTCTAAAAAATAAATAACGGAAAAGTGGTGCATGCATATCTATTCACCCCCTTTGCTATGAAGCCCCGAAATAAGATCTGGTGCAACCAATTACCTTCAGAAGTCACATAATTAGTTAAATAAAGTCCACCTGTGTGCAATCTAAGTGTCACATGATCTGTCACATGATCTCAATATATATACACCTGTTCTGAAAGGCCCCAGAGTCTGCAACACCACTAAGCAAGGGGCACCACCAAGCAAGCGGCACCATGAAGACCAATGAGCTCTCCAAACAGGTCAGGGACATAGTTGTGGAGAAGTACAGATCAGGGTTGGGTTATAAAAAAATATCCGAAATTTTTAACATCCCACGGAGCACCATTAAATCCATTATTTGAAAAATTGAAAGAAAATGGCACCACAACAAACCTGCCAAGAGAGGGCCGCCCACCAAAACTCACGGACCAGGCAAGGAGGGCATTAATCAGAGAGGCAACAAAGAGACCAAAGATAACCCTGAAGGAGCTGCAAAGCTCCACAGCGGAGATTGGAGTATCTGTCCATAGGACCACTTTAAGCCATACACTCCACAGAGCTGGGCTTTACTGAAGAGTGGCCAGAAAAAAGCCATTGCTTTAAGAAAAAAATAAGCAAACACGTTTTGGTGTTCGCCAAAAGGCATGTGGGAGACTCCCCAAACATATGGAAGAAGGTAGTCTGGTCAGATGAGACTAAAATTGAGCTTTTTGGCCATCAAGGAAAACGCTATGTCTGGCGCAAACCCAACACCTCTCATCACCCAGAGAACACCATGTTTTTCATCAGCAGGGACTGGGAAACTGGTCAGAATTGAAGGAATGATGGATGGCGCTAAATACAGGGAAATTCTTGAGGGAAACCTGTTTCAGTCTTCCAGAGATTTGAGACTGGGACGGAGGTTCAGTTTCCAGCAGGACAATGACCCTAAGCATACTGCTAAAGCAACACTTGAGTGGTTTAAGGGGAAACATTTAAATGTCTTGGAATGGCCTAGTCAAAGCCCACCCAGACCTCAATCCAATTGAGAATCTGTGGTATGACTTAAAGATTGCTGTACACCAGCGGAACCCATCCAACTTGAAGGAGCTGGAGCAGTTTTGCCTTGAAGAATGGGCAAAAATCCCAGTGGCTAGATGTGCCAAGCTTATAGAGACATACCCCAAGAGACTTGCAGCTTTAATTGCTGCAAAAGGTGGCTCTACAAAGTATTGACTTTGGGGGGGTGAATAGTTATGCACGCTCAAGTTTTCAGTTTTTTTGTCTTATTTCTTGTTTGTTTCACAAGAAAAAATATTTTTGCATCTTCAAAGTGGTAGGCATGTTGTGTAAATGAAATCATACAAACCCCAAAATAATCCATTTTAATTCCAGGTTGTAAGGCAACAAAATAGGAGAAATGCCAAGGGGGGTGAATACTCACGAAATGTCTAAGATAATACGTTTCATGTAATAACATTAAATTTAAGCAAAATAATAAAATAGAATCCTCAAAATGGCAACGAATACAATTATTCTGCACACTGAATTATGTTTGTTAGTCTTTGTTTACATGTTTATACTGCTCTGTATTCACCATTGTTTTAATGTGTTGTTGCATTTTTTTCTCAGCCTGAAAATGAAGATAAAAACTTGGTCTATGACAATATAGGGTCCAACGTCTGCATGGGGGACCACAAGGTAACATCACAGGCATAGCCCACTTCTGGGTTGTATTGTGTTGTGCCTGTATGTGGGTGTGTGTTTGTCTGTCTGTCTATGGATTTGTATGTGAGTACATTATTTCATCATGTTCTATTGTTTCAATTGAAAACTAAAAGTTTGCACTTTATTGAAATGTGGGATTTCCAGTAATTTTCAATTAATGGTATTCTGTATTGTCCTTGATTTTGAAGAATATGACTCGTAAATTAGATTAGTACAACTACCTTACATTTACATTACATTTTAGTCATTTAGCAGACGCTCTTATCCAGAGCGACTTACAGTTAGTGAGTGCATACATTATTTAAACAAAACAAAAAATCATACTGGCCCCCCGTGGGAATCGAACCCACAACCCTGGCGTTGCAAACGCCATGCTCTACCAACTGAGCTACATCCCTGCCGGCCATTCCCTCCCATACCCTGGACGACGCTGGGCCAATTGTGCGCCGCCCCATGGGTCTCCCGGTCGCGGCCGGCTACGACAGAGCCTTACCTTAAATTATTACTCCATTGACCTATTACTGTAATTTCTTCTGAACATATTCTGTATGTGTCTATAGTGAAACCAAAAGTTGGCTGTGAACAGTCATATTGTGATCAGAGGCTCTTTTGTCATGCTGACTTTATAGACAGTATTTAACACAGTCCCTCCAGTCTGCAATGTTAGACAGTGGCTGTTAAGCTGACAGAGAGAGAGGCGCCTTAAAGCTGAAGTCCTCACAGTCTTTCATCATTACATACTGTGGACTGGCCAGTAGTGTGTGTGTGAGGTGACCCGGGCACTGAGACAGACTCCACCAGACCTAGGCCAAGAATCACACGCACCCGCTAAAATCACATTCTGCTATGTTTAAAAAATGTCCAATGTAGTTAGCACACAGCAGAAAATATGTGCACCCCTGGTATGCGAGTTTAGGCTGTGTGTAATGGATGGTAGAGATTGTGTGTGTGTGTGTATGAGAGGGGGCTTTAAACTTGTATTGCCCCCTTGCCTTTGGCCTTTCCACTCAGGGCAGGACTGTTGCTAATTGGCTTATTTGTCTTTCTGTGTCCCTCTGTCTGGCAGCCTGTCTACCTGTCCTTTCGATTAACAGCCGGGGCAGGTAAACCTAATGCAAATAAGCACAAGTGTTGTAACGTGCAGTGATGTCGTGGTAAATATTTTTCTTTATTATTAAGAATAAATGAATGTTATTATTGCTTTTTACTGTTATTATTATTATTAGTATTATTAATAATATTGTTATTAGTATTATTATGCTTTGGCTTTCTTTATCTTTTGCATTGCATTGCTTTTTTTTATTTTTTTTTATAATACATGGCCTGATGCTGATGCATTATTCTCATGGCGTGTGTGTGTATGTTTTCTTTATTTTGTCAGGGAAGTGGTGCCAAAGGGTGGAGAAGATCTCTGCCTGAAGCGCCTCTGTGAAAAGAACCAAGAGTCGGACACCAACACACACACACACACACACACACACACACACTGAAGACCCTATACAGACTGTTCAGCAGTGCTGACCAGTTGCAGTTGTTCTAACACTTCATCCATACAAGCTGTTGTGTTTCCACACAACACGTCAGTATCTGGACTACCCACCCGAGAGACGTTTGCGATAAGACACACCTCACTGACCTTACCATTGCTACGCACCCCATTCCCCCAGAAAAAGGAAGGACAACTATTTTCCATGTCACAGCCTTGTTGCCAAAACTCTAATAGAAATCAGTCTTAAATACATTATTTTAGATACCATATTGCAATTGTAGGTATGTCTCTATGTATAGAAGCTACTTCCATTATGTAAGATGTTTGTTTTTTTTATGCAAAAAAGGTTGTATATCTATATTGCTAGGTTTATTTGTACATTGGACAGTATAAAATAAAGTTGTTGATGGTTTTAGCGCCATTCTCTCTCATCTGACCAAACGTTGTGGTCCCACTGTTTAGAATTGATAAATATTTTCAGTTAATTTCAATTATTTGTATTACTTTTATTTTTCTTTATTTTTGTCGTTGCTGACTTGTGTGCCTCACACACTGCCATGCCTCACACATCAGCTGAATCTCATTTTATATGCTGTACTTTTTAAAGAGAGAATTTATCATTCTTAACAAAATTGTTATGAAGTATATGGAGACAATATGGCTGCTGTGGTGTTCCATCAGCCATGACCTTTGAATCTATCATTACAAGTGACAAAAAAAAAACTTTTCAGCCAACATGATTCATATAGCCTATCCAATGATGTTTTAAGCAGTGCAAGTATATAAGATATTGTTTCATATATAGCAGTTTCACATTATTATTATTATTATTATAACTTATTTCTATGTAATGATATTATGGTTCTGAATGTGATGTTTTTAGATAGGCTTGGGTATTCTTTAAAAAATGTAAAGTTTTTTATTTTTATTTTTACTGCATTATGGTGCCAAGTATACACAGAATGAAGTGTGAAGAGATAACATAAAATACATCAGCCCAACTGATAGATAAGGGTCTTGATTATACATTGTAAAAAAAACGCTAAAGGAGGGAAAGACTAGGAAGAATTGCTTTTTAATTTTGTATGTAGCCTTCAACAGCCTTCATTGCTATGTTGCAAATAATTTCCTGTCATCGCTCGTTAGAGCATTAAACTGCAATTAGGGGAGGCTATTGATGAAAAGCGAATGTTTTCTTTTATTGATTTAATTTACTACACTACAGAGTTCACAGACTGTGTGAAGCCGTTAGATTGCTCCTTGAGTTTTCCATCTAAATCACTGCATGTGGAAATTATTTTGTGCCTGCTGCAGACTTCATGTTGTCTTGACAGTGTGATTTGGTTCGTAGGCAAAACTGCTTGTTTTTCCCGCTGGTCACGTGATAAGAGAAGCCGCAGTTTGTTCACTCCTTTCAGCAGATAGAGATTATATTCTACCCAATGGACGGCATGGCCTCAAGTGTTGGTTATGCGGTTCTCAAGCAATAAAACCATTAGAACTAAATGGGTGTTTTGTCATCATTCCACCGCATCTATCGCTTCAGCGTTGCATCTGTACCACACAACAAGATGCTATTGACAACGCCTACTTATTTGTGGATCTTGATCAACTTGCATGCATGACCAGTGGACACAATCCTACTATGTGCACAATAATATTAAAGATCCAAAGATTAATATTTCCAAAGATGTTCCTGCTTCCATGATGAAGTTTGTGGTATCACATCAAGTTAAACCATGCAGTCTAAAGCCTCCACTTTGGTAATTATGCAGATATAGGCATACCCTATGATTATTGCAGATAGCCTGGCCCTATATTGTAGACCTACAGAAAACAATGATGGATGATGAAAAGTGGCCAAATTCTGTTTTCAAGTGAATTAGTAGTACCAGTGCAGTTATATAAAACTCCAAGAAATGTAATAGGGCAATAATGAAACGTGGTATAAGTGTATCGAATTGCATACAAAATGCAATATGTAGTTAAATGAGTTATAGCACTATGGAAAATTATATTTGTTCCAAAAAAAATGCAGGCTATTAATTAGGGCTTTAATTACAGCCTATAGAATAGTAATTATCCTATTGCGCTTTAAGCATGAATAAATGTCTAATGTCCACATTTATTATAACACCTACACTTCAGAGGTGTTAGGTCAACAACAAAAATCAAATAAACTGTTCTGAAATGTGTGAAGTCTAAAAGACTTCAAAAGTTAGTAGAGAGAAACTAGTCTACACACACACTCTTCTTCAGAAAATTATATCCACATTAAAGTGCAAACAATAAGTTGGCCTAAACTATAGGTTGTAATTTGGGGTTGTGACGCAAACTTATCCAGGCTATCCTAAGCAACACCCCATTCCAGTTACCATTTTATATATGGGTTTGTAAACTTTTCATTTTCAATTTCATTTTTGGAACATATATTTTGTATGTAGCTTATATTTATGAAATTCACTAGGCTATGCGTAAATGCATAGGTCTAGTATTTGTAGGCCTGATCACCACCATCACAATGCCATTGTAAAAAAAAAAAAAAAAAGGCTAATCTTGAAAACAACATTAAAACTTTCACAAGACCTATTACGAGTTTAGTATAGTCCTATACTTTCACCAAGGCAACTAACATTGAGCTATTCCGACTTGGGCAAGGTTTACTAAAGAGAACGAGAGAGATCCAAAACATCTCTGACGGTCTTGGCCAGAGGAAGCAAACAGGTTTCTGATTATTATAATTTACCAGACCCGCCTTTCTCAGCATTTGAGTGGGTCCCGATCAATTTCAGAATATTGGTACACTCTAAAAAGTAGGGGTTCAAGAAGGGTTCTTCTAAGATCCTCAAAGTTCTTTGAAGAACCTTAGGGTTCTTGGCACTGAAAATTGCACCCAAAAGGTTCTTCCAAGAACCCCATAGGAGGTGGGGTTCATCGAGGAACTTCATTAGTTGGTGGGGGTTCTTGCAGGAACCTAACTGCCCCACTGAAACATTTGGATTTGAATTTGAAAGGTCAGCAGGTACAGGCACTTAACTGAAAAATGTAAAGATCTCCTCAATTTAAGGTAAGGTTTGTCCCTTGTATGATCTAAATTGATATTGTTTTATGATGATACCATATATCTTTTCATATTTGTGCAAAACAGAAAATGGATACAATTCAATGGATATCAATCAACAAAGAGGTAAGAATATGTATGCTATAAGAATATGTTGGGTGCAGATGACTAAACTGCTCACTTTTGTGTCTGTGTCTGCAGGTTTACAGAGGAGGAGGCATACAAAGGTATGTCAATTGGTATTGGTATGTTATGTCCTCCCTTACCTCTTCAATTAAAATCCCATAGGCCTCTACATTTTGAACAAGGTGTGTGTGTGATAACTATTATCAAAATAGTTTTTTTCCATTCACATTTACCACAAAAACAGCGGTATTAATACTGTCGTGTGCATGTTTTGTTAATTATCTGTATAATTACTATTTTTTGGATTCACCCTCCCTACACCTCTGATGAATATAACAGGAAACCTGTTCGATCACCATGCACTGCAAAATCATTCTGGCTATGGATACGAAGAACATCAGCACATTAACATCAACATGCCAGAGGATATACCCATTGGACTTGGGGCTCTGCTGGGAGTTTACCTTATATTTTGATTTTTTTATTCTGCTTTGCCACTGAAATCCTAATAAACACTGACAACTAAAATATTGTGTTATTGTTCAGCGTATTACTACTAATAATAATAATAGGGGAGGGGGGAATAGTTAAAAAATTAACCCCAAAAGGTTATTAGAAAGGTTATTTGAGGATCCATTAAAAGGGGTTCTTTGAAGAACCCTTTTTAAAGAGTTCTTCAAAGAACTTATAGGGGTTCCCCCACAGTTTCAATTTCAAGGACCCCTAAAGGATCCTCCAGGAACCTTTACTTTTTAGAGTGTAGGCAGCCTAATTCAATAAAGAGTAATTTCAGTGAAGCGGAACAAAATTCCATATTAAAAACAAAAGCTTGTTAAATAATTTATTTATAATACAAAGTTTTTTTTCTTCCATCTTCGTGGAAGCAATAATACTCTCTTATTCCAACATAAACAATGATCCAGTTCTCTATTTTTGTTTGATGAGGTGAAACAAATTATTTCAAATTATAAAAGAAACTGAGTTTAGATCTTCAAAACAAGCTTTTTACATTATAATTTACAACATTTGCATTTATACATTGTGTACCATGAATTTAGAATGGTAAAAGGTGGAGAGATGGGCAACATTATTCTGCAATATATAACAAAATGAAGCTATTATATTGAGAAGGTATATGCTTATCAGGATTTGCGGGAAAGCCTGCCATGTCTTGTTTACATTGGTTTAATAACATAACTTACTCAGTAAAAAATATATACATCTCACATTTTCGTCTGTACAACATAAATCATTCACACCTCCCATCAGCGCCCTTTCTCTCCTTTTGAACAATTTATACCCTGGTTAAATTAGCTTTAGAAGCATCATGGAGTGTTTGAGTCTTTTCTCGACAAGTTGTCAATGTCATCACAAGGTGTCCGAGCTATTGCTGCATGGACTGATCAGGGAAATGTTTGTAGCCTTGTGCTTTTTCAGAAGTCTCGTGATTTTTTCGTCGTCTGAATTTGGGTCCAGAGGTTTGTTATACTCGTCATCGTCCTCATTGTCCGAGCTTTCCTTCATCTTCTCCGTTTCAGAGTCGTGTTTCTTTTTGGCTGTTGCCATTTCTGCTGCGTGTCTCTTCCGCCATTTGGTTCTCCTGTTTTGAAACCATACCTATTGGGAGAAGCAATAACATACAATTAGCCACTTAATACATACAATAATAAATAAGCTATTCTTGGTATTATTGGTAGAAATTATTCTTCCAATATCAAAGTCATTACTATCTGAGTTGGAGCCAAGAAAATACCTTGCTAAACATGAAGTTAGCCTACTAATAACTGCATAACAATAACAACATAATAACAACATAGGCTAATACCAGTAATGTTAACAATATTGCTAATAATAATAATAATAATAATAGTAATAGGCATGCTAATAATAATAATAACTTATAATACAGCACAGTACGGCCAGATATGCCAATATTAATTTTAAGACAATAAACATTTATAAATCATGCCTTCATTACATTTGAATTCATGTCAAAAGATAACTCAAGTAATGATAGATACCTTGACTTGACTTTCAGTCATTCCCAAAGAGTAAGCCAGTCGAGCTCTTTCTGGGCCAGCAAGGTATTTCGTCTGTTCAAAGGTTTTCTCCAATGCAAAAATTTGCTGTCCAGAAAAAGTTGGTCTGGAGTGTTTTTTCTTGCCATCCTTGTCGAGCATCATGTTTGCTTGAGCTACAAAAAAGATTGAAGATTCTAGTCAAAAATATGTAAACACAACAGTGATTAGTATTTCAACATCAGTAGTAAACAGTTCTCACGAGTTTACTCCTGGAGAGGGACTTTGTGTGGACTAACATAGCTAGGCTTGCACATTAATTAAAACACTGAATATAAAAAGCTACCAATTTAAATGGAAAGCCTATCGAAATCATTATGTATAAGTAGTTATTATAAGTTAAGTTATTATAAGTTATTTACAAGAAGCAGCATAAAATAAGCTACCCAACAAATTCAACAGATGTCTGCATTAAAAAAGTAAAACATTTCTGAGTAGCCTACAGGAAGAAAAAACAAATTGTATATAAATGCATTCAAACATTTTGCACTCGACACAGCCAGACAGCGAACTTACCAGGACAGGGCACTCGAGGATCCCTCCAAGGGGAGCTCTGCATCACTCCAGGCCAGAATATTGGTGCTCTCCCCGGGAGCTCCGTCAGGGGCTTCGGGTACCGAGAAACGGCCGCTGGGTTAAAGTACATTCCTGCGGTGGCGGCCAAGCCGTTTATCCTTGGAAATCCCGAGAGCAGCTGTCCAGCTGAGTTGATAGGTCTACCCAAGATATCGCTAATTCCATGTGGTGTCCCCAGGGCAAGCTGTGAATTCAAATGAGTGAGAGAATGCGCCTTGAAGCCCGCATGATTCTGCAAAGTGTAGGGGAATAAAGACGTCTTCATCTCGGTCATGTTGTGCAATGCTGCCAGCGGTGTACTGCCTAGGACGAAAGCACTCTGCCGGTTAGCATCCATCTGCCCAACAGCTAACATTTGAGAGCATGAACCACCAAATTCGCTCGAGTAAAAATAACAATAAACAGATGAAAGGAATATAAATGTGCTGAACTGGTCGATAAGCAGAGGTCACTACAGGTGCTTCGGAAGTATATCCTGGATACGGCAGCCACTGAAGGTTGAAACTTCCGAAAACAAAAACACTTACTTAGGAGAGAAGTTCTCTCTTGCGTTGTCGGACAATAGTTCGATCGAAAATGTCTCTCCAATTCAGACTGTCAATAGTGTGTTTGCCTCATGCGTCCACATCAAGAATTCACTCGGAAGTCGGAGGATCTGATTATGTTTTTTAGTGGTTTTGATGGTGACCATAAGGGTCGGCTTTCTTCGTAAATTGACTCTAGCTATGGTGTGAGTGAAGCGGGATGCACTGATAACGGCGCAGCCACCTGCATACGCATATTTCCCATTGGATAACGTTGAGTGAGAGCGCTCTCTGATTGGAGGGAACACTCTCGGGTACTTTCCATGTGCGCCTCTTGGACAAAGCCACACTATTAATGTATTTAATATATTACTGTACTACTATTAATGATGCATCGTACTGTAGAAATAATTGTTTCAAGATTTGACTAAAATTATGTATTTACATTATGACCCATTACCGATGACAATGTAAGTAGGCTACATCATTAAACTCAAAACAATTATGCTGCAGGGCCTACTGATTTCATTGTTACCAGTGATTTGAAGGAGGTTGAAGATAAGATGACACGCATTTCTAGAAGACACATCCAGTAGCCTGTTTATTGAAAAGCAGGCTTTATGTGTAGGCTATCTGTTGTGGATGTAGGCATACTTCACTAAAGTTTACATTTTAGAAAATTATTAATCAAATCTATTTCAGAGAAAGATAAAATAACTGCAGCCTTAACGGATTAATTGTGGTGTATAGTTGTGGAGCTATCTTGATATTGCTGTAAAACCATTCGTTTAAAAATATATATATTCGTTTAAAATGACCCATATCTTTGTTTCATGTGATACAGTAAATCATTTTTTTTCCAATTGTGCGTGTCTAGACAAACTCATAGATAGGCTAAGTGAGTCTTAAAGATGGTATCACTTGGCCTACACAATAGACATTTAGATCAGCGATTGTATCTGTATCACCGTCACTGGTCAGATACACCGATGCATCATATTTGCCTGGTAGCCTATGTCCAAGCTGACAACTAAACCGTGTAACAAATATATACCTAATTTTACCTTTTTAATTACTCAAATTATTATTGTTGTTTTTTCATCATTTTCATCATGAGATGTGACCTGGACTGAAAAAAGTGCGTGGCTCAAGACGTCATCAAATTGAGTGCCGCTTCAAGCCACCGCGCTAATATTTTATGGAGACGTGAATGTTGTTAGAGTGAGATATGGCCACGTCAGCGAATCTACCTTGGACATTTAATAGCAGAGTGAAGAACGCTTATTCTAAGGGTTTGGAAAAGTAAAGGTTTTCCAATTTTGCACTGCATTTCTTTATTTAGATGAGAATTACACATTTCAACAGGCCTATAAATTATATAGGGGCAAAGAGATACAACTAGGCTATAGTTTGTTACCTTTTCAAATGTGTTAAAAACGTGAATAATACTAAATTGGATTTCAAATATTTGTTTGTTCATTGTCTTTATTTTAGGACATATTGGATAATATAATGTTATTGACAAGCTATTATTTAACTATTTAATCGAAAATGACTGGTGATACACTCATTCGTTTTCACCGTCATAGGAAAGTTCAATACACCAGTCACTGTTTGGCTATTAGGCAACAAGAACAAACAATCAATCAGAAAAATAAACGTACATTTCGCCTGCAACCACTGGATAACTGCAATGGCACAGAGAATAATGTAAGAAAAACGAATGATCATCATTAACTTATAGTTTTTTTTTTTGTTGTTGCAATTTTTATCAACTAACTTTTTAGAATGTATTCTCCAGGCCAACTTTTCTATTACTAGTGTGCACACCCGTCTATACATCTGTAATAAGCAGCACCGTCGATTTAAAATCTGCTCTAGCTATATCTTGACTTTAACATAAACATATTATGTTTTCACTAATTACCGGAGGCCTTTATTATGGAGTTTTATTATAGGCTAAACGTTTATATCATGTTTCATATTTTATAGACAATGGCTTCCAGTTTATTCATTTAAAAAACGCAATAGTACATCAGGGATTTTATTTATATCACCCTGTAAACGCATTAATTTGTTGTTATTGTACCTATTAATATTACAATTATTACAAGTAAGGTATTCGAAATATATAAATATATTATAATCATTATAATTATAATTACTATAATTACTATAATTATCATCATCATCAATATAAGTAATTGACTGTTGTTTGCAGCGGCAAGGGTAGCCTGTATGCAGTAAGCAAGTGTGCTTAATCATTGTCTATCACCTTGCATGTAAAAAAAAAAATATATATATATATATATATATATATATATATATATATATATATATAGACATTAAAATAATAATTAAACGTAGGCTAATTTATGAATTAATTGTTATAATTGTTTGATAAAATTGTTATAATTGTTTGATATCTCAAGGGTGAATTAAATGGAAGTATAAAGCTGATACAAATCTGGGAAAGAAAACTGTAGTCAAATACAACGTTGAAGTAAACGTAGTCAACTATAACATTGAAGTAAACCATTTGTCACAAAATGTCAGCGGTACGATTCCCAGATTATAGTTTCGAAGAGCCCTCTAGTGGCGTCAAGAAGAGTTGTTTACTTCATCAGGGACTGTTTCACATTTGCTAAATTCAGGGAAATAGGCTAGAATGAAAAATAAGCCTAGACGACCGACCGACCACCCACTAAACGCATAACACACACTTTACGCTAGATATGAGCATATGTTTAGTGATTTACAACAGAACTCTACTTTTGTTTCAAATGAGAAAATGTCACACAGAGCGTCCATCAGCCATCCGTTTATTCTGCCTAATAACTGCCAAACTGTCTGTTCCTCCTCAAAGAGCCCTCAGTTTATTTCAAACAACTTTTCTATTCAGTGACCTGTGGTTAGATAGTTATTTGGTAAGCAGTTAATGGTTTGATTAGTCGTTTGGCATTGCATATCCTTATCATTGAAATAGTAAAAATGGTGTTATCTCGGGCAACTGAGTTAGGAAGGACGCCTGTATCTTTGTAATACTGGTTGTATTGATACACCATCAAAAGTGTAATTAATAACTTCACCATGCTCAAAGGGATAACCTTCCTGGTCTGTGTGGTTGAATCTGTGATTGAAATTCACTGCTCGTCTGAGGGACCTTACAGATAATTGTATGTGTTTGGTACAGAGATGAGGTAGTCATTCAAAAGTCATTCATGTTAAACACAGAGTGAGTCCATGCAACGTATTATGTGACTTGTTAAGCAAATATTTACTCCTGAACTTATTTAGGCCATAAGAATGGGGTTGAATACTTATTGACTCAAGACACTTCAGATTTTTGCACAGGTGATATGCTGGTAGAAATGAGGTAAAACTGATTTTAGTTTCCCTGCATTAAAATCACTGGCCACTAGGAGTGCCGCCTCTGGTTTATCATTTTCTTGTTTGCTTATGGCCATATACAGCAAGTTGAGTGCTCCAGATACTGTGCTAGATTTTGTGCTATCTTAGCTAGCTAGCTATCTAACGTTAGCCTAGCTAAAATAGCCAACGTAGCATTGCATCACTCGGTATAAAACTATTTTTACACAATATTATCTCATCACCAATAGTTCGCTAGTTACACAACAACATAGGAATACATTTATGAAATGTTCAAGAACTTTTAACTCGTTTTAAACTCTCAAAACATTTATACATTGGAGCCCTTGTGAATATAGTTGCCCAGGGCACGAGACTATCTTTTTTCATCACAGTCCCATAATCATCCCGAAGTGCAATTTCAACCATCCCAAACTGAAGATGAACCATCCCAAATTAAAATGTATATTTTTATGTTTTGATATGCCAACATGGGTCTACTCTAGGACCTAGGTAATTCACAGTGATTTAAAAGCCTAATAAGAGTAGTACTGAAATAGATAAGTAGGTCTGTCAACTGAGCCAGAAATTCACATAAATAAATGTGCCTCTAAAAGGGCCAACATTGGAATAATATGTATATGGAATATCATGTATAAAAATGCCCAGTTGCCCACTGTTTTGGCTACCATGGCTAGAAGAAGAGATCTCAGTGACTTTGAAAGTTTTGACTAGTACTGTATATATAGACATTTTTTTTATACAAATATTTTTTGTTTTTTTGGGTCCAATCACAAGTGGGGCATCGCTCCTAATGCCACTGGTGGAAACAATGTTGAATCAACCAGTTTTTGCCCAGTGGGTTCCTTATGCCATTGAAACCAGCATATCTTTCATGATGTTCTATTGGTTTTCAAATCAACTTTCTTTCATTGTCTAGCAGCCAAAGACACAATCCAAGTCATATTAGCAACACATGCTAGTTGTGGCACCATTAGATCTCCCCTCTTTGGGGGATATTTCCATCTCTGTCACATGAAACCGCTTGCATGTGTGGTGCACTTTTTAGAATGGAGTGTTCCCGCTAATTGCATTTTGGAACATGACTACTGTCATGTGCGCATTTCTGCGCTTATAATGTGAAGAAATAGTTTATCAACATTTCAAGCTAAACGTTCTGATCTATTATATCAGCATTGTTGCTTTTTTAAATTTATTTTTTACCGTTACTGAACAAAAATACAAACACAACCTGTAAAGTGTTGGTCCCATGTTTCATGAGCTGAAAAAAAGGTCCCAGAAATGTTCCATATGCACAAAAAGCTTATTTCTCTAAAATATTGTACACACATTTGTTTACATCCCTGTTAGTGAGCATTTCTCCTTTGCGATGATAATCCATCCACCTGACAGGTGTGGCATATCAAGAAGCTGATTAAACAGCATGAGTATTACACAAGTGCACCTTGTGCTGGGGACAATAAAGGCCACTCTAAAATGTGCAGTTTTGTCACACAACACAATCCCACAATGCCACGTGCAATTGGCATGCTGACTCCAGGAATGTCCACCAGAGCTGTTGCCAGAGAATGTGATGTTAATTTCTCTACCAAAGCCGCCTCCAACGTCGTTTTAGAGAATTTGGCAGTACGTCCAACCGGCCTCACAACCGCAGACCACGTGTATGGCATTGTGTGGGCGAGCGGTTTGCTGATGTCAACTTTGTGAACAGAGTGCCCCATGGTGGCGGTGGGGTTATTGTATGAGCAGGCATAAGCTACGGACAATGAATACAATTTCATTTTATCGATGGATATTTGAATACAGAGAGATACCGTGACA